AAAAAAAAAACAATAACCATGATAATGATAATTTCGTGTTTGTGTGCGTTTGTTTCATTTAAACAAAACAAAAAACAATAGAATCCCATTTAGAAATTACAAATGAATGAATGAATGCAGATTTTTCTTTTTTTTTTTTAATTTTCATTTCTGCTAAACTTGTTTTTGTTGTGTTTCTGTTCCATTTCACTTTTGCTTTTTGCTTTTGTTTTTCTGGATTTGCCTTTTGTTCGTTTAGTTATTGATGCTTATTGATGATCATGAATTTTTTTGGAATCTTTTCTCTCAATCCGAATTTTCTGTTTTTTTCTTGATTTTCAAATTTTCAATCATCCTTGAAACAAACAGAGAAAAATTAAAAACTAATATTTTGCCAATAATAATAATCATTTTTACTGTGAAAAAGTTTCATAAATTTTTTTCATTCGCTACTTGATCAATTTCATATGAAACTACAAAATTATTAATTGAATTATAATGATGATGATGATGATGTGGATGACGAATGAATCTCGTATAATTAATTCTGAAATGAATGAAAATGTTTGGACATTTCTCTCTTCGTTTTCGTACTTTTGAATTGGATTGAAAACCCTTTTGCAAATCGATAATCCATTTCAGGATAATTTATTCCAAAATACTTTGATCGTCGAAAATGAATTGTTCTTGGAATTTCACTTTTTTGCTTTTTCTCATTTTTCAAACATTCCCCCCTAAAAATCCAAAGATTTGAAACGAATTGATACAACGTTTAAAAATTTACAAAAAAAAAGTTTTTAATCTCAATTCAATGATGGCATTCATGACTATGATTGAAACATCTAGATCATCATCATCATGTTAATGGTGAAAAATGATTTTGTCAAAACAGAAAACAAAATCTCAATTAGCATGCAATTGAAAGGATTTGCATTTTCCAATTTCAGAAACAGAAAACAAGAAAAAATCAAAAATCTTCAATAATCATCAGGTGATTAGTCCCAAAAACAACAACAACAAAAATAATCGTCGATCCTTGATCGTAGCTGAATGGTTAAAAAAAATTGGATCACAAATTTTTTTTTGCTACCAAAAATCTATATTAACTTGATTTTAATTTCCAGAAAAAAAAACAAACCGCATAATAAATGAATTTAACCCGTAGGCATAGTCACATATAAGCTTCAAAATAATTAGCGATTAAGAAAAATCGATTAATCAATCGATTTTTGGTTGTTGATTTCGATTTTTGATTTCGCTGAGAAGATGATGATGATGACTTTCAAATAAAAATCATCAACAACCGAAATATCATCACAAACAAACAATTTATCCTTTGGCTAATATAGAGAAAAATGATAATTTTTCCTCTTCACCAATGACACAAACACAGCAACAACAACATTGCTGTTAATTGCGAGAAAATTTTCGTTAATCGATCGATCGATCGATTGATCGATCCATTTTCCCATTTCAACTTTTGATTGATAGGTTTCTTGGATTCAGGAATTTTTTTTTTAATTTTGTTTTGGGTGGTGCGCTCATAACTGGAAAAAGAAATTAAAATTTTTTCTTCCCAGAAACAAACAAACAAACTAATTTTCACCTATTAATCAACCTTCATTTGTAGGCGGTATAGAGAGCACTGTGAATTTGCTGATTACAAATGTAAATTGCTGTTGTTGAAAAGAATTCAATGATTGATTTGATTTGGTTTTTCGATTTTTGATTTTTGTCGATTATGATGATGATGATGACAATTTACCTGCCAATTTTTTTTCTTCTAAATAATTTAATTATATGATTTGATTATTCAACAAACAACAAACAAAAAAAAACTTTACAATTGTGAAAAGCGGAAAAATCGTTTTTTCTTGTTGTTTTCATTTGTTCAAGGTTTCAAAACTTTTCCATCATTCATAATCAAGGGTTAATATTGCTGTTTTCCTCTCTCTCTGCCTACCTGTGTTTTCCCCTGTGTTTACCTGTTTCAAACAACAAAAAACTAATTGTTTTTCTTTTCTTCATTTTTTTATTTGCTCTTGTTTTCTCCCACAGGGTTAATATCACCAATACAAATGGTTTTATGTGATCAATTTCAATCATCGCAATCATCACCACCACAATCATTACCATTAACATCAATAAATTTTCGTTGTCCCGAACAATTTGGTTATTATGCTGATGAATATAATTGTTCTAAATATTTTGTCTGTGTATTTGGTGAAGCATTACATGAATCATGTACAGGTGGTTTAAGATTTTCATCCGAATTACAAACATGTGATTGGCCAAGAAATGTTATCTGTCCATATGAAGGTAAAGTGATTTTTTGATTTAACCCTTTTGTACACTCTTTCATTACAAACAAAAAACAAAAAACATTACCCGAAATTCAATCAAATTCAGTCAGTGTTTTTTATTGATTTTTTTTCGGTAAAAAGCTAAATTTAACTCACTTTTGTTTTTGAGAATACTTCCTGGAAACAATAATTTTCTCAGTTAAAAAAATTTTCTGGGAAAAACAAAACAAAAATATTGTTCCTGTTCGAAAATCTTCGATCCAAAAGTGATGAGTGATTTTTTTTTGTTTTTTTGCTGTTTTTTCTGAAGAAAATTTGCATGATTTTCATGATTGTAAAACAAAACGAAAAAAAAATTATTCAAAAAGTTTTTCGAATATATAAGTCACCTGTCACAAAACCTGAAACAAAAAACGCGCCCTTTTACCGATATCGAAACATACCTAACCTGGCCTGCCTGACAAACAATAACAACAACAACAACAAAGTTGATCGACGAAGAAATTCGTCTTGATTTTCTCACTTGTCATCATTGGTTCCGCAAAGTTTTTTGTTTTTTGTTTCTGGATTTTTGTGTTTGATGATGATGATGTGAAAAAAACAAAAATTCAATTTATATGATACCCATATTGAACAACAACAACAACAATGAAACACTGGATTTGTTGTTGTTGTTGTTTTTTCCAAGAAATCATCGAACGACGAAAACCAAAAAAGAAAGAAAAATCAATCCGATGAACACGATGTTTGTTGTTGTTGTTGTTTTCCCTGAAACTCTTTCTTGTTAATGATGACTATAGATAGACGTAGATGGACAGTAAGAAAGATTATGAAAGTTTCCAATTCATTCATTTAAAATCCGTTTTCGAAAATCTTTCCAGGAAATTCAATTTTTCTTGTGATTTAATAATGGATTTACCAAAGCCAAAGATTAAATTATCACCGTGTTTTCTGTGTGTGTGTGTGTTTGTAATTATAACTTTTCGAATCACCAACAAAAATCATAAAGCACCACCATCAACAACAACAACAGCAACAAATATCAAATTAAGGTGAGGTGTTTATAGTCATTTTTCTTTCTTTAGTATTCCGTTCAGGTTGTGTGTGTGTTTGTGTTTTGAATTGAATATCCAAACGAGCTCAACTAAACTAAACTAAGTAACGAAAATACCACCTGGAAAAGAAATGTAAAAGTTTACGAAGAAGAAGACCAAGATTGTCTACAACATTACAACATTAATTACAAAAACATTTACGAAAACATAGTTTTCAATAGTTTTCTTCTTCCTATTTATTTATAATTTTCATCCGTTTTTTCTTTCTCCTCTAATTAGATTCAGATTATGATGAAACTGAAGATGATTTTGTCGATTCTGGATCATATTCATTATCGAATAATAATAATAACAAGCAACAACAACAAGTTGGATCTGGTATGATAATTGAAACGAAAAATCCGACAACAACAACAACTTCGACAACAACTGCCAAACCTTTATCATCATCCAATAGTGATTTTTATGATAATCATCATCCATTTATCCTATTAAATCATAAATCACAACCATCATCATTTACAAAATCATTATTACCACCATCATCAACCAATGCAACGACGACCATACAACAACAACAGACACCAACGCATCAAATATCGGCCAAAACATCACCATCAACGAATGGATTATTTTCAATTCGAAATAATTTATCCGTTAATAATAATAATCAATATACAACACCAACATCTCATCATAATCATAATCATAATCATCAAAATGATAATTCACAAATATCATATCATCATGGAACAACAACAACAACAACAACAACAAGATATTTATCAAATACAAAACATTCATTAAATGAACAGGATATTATACAGGATAGTTTTAATAAATTAATTAAACAACAACAACAACAACAACAACAGCAAAAACATCATCAAAAATTAGGTCGTCAATCGAATATTATCGTTAATAATAATCGTCAGATACCAAATCAAAATGCAACCAACAATCATAATCAACATAATCATCAACATTCATTTGTAAATCCGGTTGTTTACAAATCAAATGATAATTATTTAACAAAAATCACTGATATTGATGAAAATCGATTGAATTTTCAACCAAATCGACAACAATCGAATAACCAAATCAATAATCATCGACATAATCAACATATTGATGATGATCTTGATGAAAATTTCACGTTGGTTGATTTGCAAAGATCTCGTCATGATGATGATCATCAACATCAACAGCCAACAAATCATCATATTGCTGGCCATAATGATGATATTCGAAATGATCTCCATTCGGTCGGACAGATTAATCAAAATCTTTTAGGTATGTTTTTCATTATGGAATCCTTTTTTTCTGATTTTTTTTCTCGCCGATTTCAACCCATAGGCCGTAGCGTAAATGGTGAAAATAATCATGCTCAATCCGTATCGGTAGTGGCTTCGACATCATCGAAAGCACGAATACCAGAATTGGATTTTGTTTTTAAAAATCAAAATATTGATAAACATCGAAATACAAATAATAATAATGATAATGATCAAAAACAACAACAATTAGACAACCATCGTAATAATAATCGATTATTGATTGATGAAATTCTTCAATTGGCCAATGCATTCAATAATAAGAATGATAATAATGATGATGATGGTAAATTTGATGATGTTATAACCGCAATTGTTGATGAAAATGGTGCCATTCATCTGGCCGGTAATAATAATAATAATAATGATGATTCAGCAGCAGAATTATTTCGATTATTATCATCAACTGAAACAACAACAATGAAAAATCAATTATTCGATTCACCTGGTTTAGCTGCATCGAATCGTAATTCTGCATCACAACAATTATTATTATCGAAAAATTCATCAAATAATAATAGCCCGAATAACCGATTATCAGCTGATGGAGATAAATTTAAATATCAAACTAGTCATCATCATCAAGCTGAAATCGATGATCAATCAAATCCTATTAATATTGATTTTGATCGTATTGAACCGGGTGCTATTTTGGTTTATAATAAAACAAAATTAATTGTTGTTCCTGAAACAAAATTTTCCAATCAATTTCCAAATCAAACATTGAATATAGCGAAAAATTCTTCATCAAATGATCAAATGCTATTGCCGAATTATATAACGATACCGGATCACCATGATGATCATGATGATAAACCAAGACAGGTAAGTTTGTATCCGATGTTTTGAATGAACATTTTTTGTTTAAAAAACATTGTTTTTTGTCTTTTGAAATCAAAAAAAAATTAGCTAATAACAAGAACCGATAAAGAATCATCATCATCATCAGTGAATAATAAATCACAGGCAAATATTTATTCAACAATTTCTTCAATAAATATTGGTGATAATGTTAATGTTAATGATGATATTGTTGATGATATTAATATTATGGTTAATCATCTACCTAATTCGGATATGATTTTAACTGATTTTCAACGTATCGGTACTAATCGAAATGATACTGATGTTTATAGAAAAAGGTTTGTTTGTTTCTTTTCTGTTTATCAAACTTTAAATAATCTTTTTTGTCCGTCTTGACAGTAAAATTCCTGAATATCGTCAATCATCTCGTTCGAATTCAACTGCTACAACAACATCAAATCGTTCATCACATGCTAGACATCTTGGTAGTCATCATCGTGGTGTAAATAAATCTTCAATACCGACAACAACAACAGCGACAACAACGGGAACAACGACAACAAATTCAACAAGAACAGTAAAAAATCTTCAAATACCATCACGACCAGTACCGGTTTATAAAACACCTGAACCATTTTCCAATGCTATTAAATGTAGTGAACAATTATGTAAATTACCTGATTGTTTTTGTGGTGGAACCGAAATTCCAGGTAAATAATCAAAAGATATTTTGTGATTTTTCATCTTGTCATCTTACTATTCATTCATTCATTCATCTAGGTGAATTATCAGTAAAAGATGTACCACAACTTGTTCTAATTAGTTTTGATGATGCTGTTAATGATATAAATTGGCATATATATGAAGAATTATTAAATTCTGGTCGTAGTAATCCAAATGGTTGTCCAATTAAAGCAACATTTTATGTATCACATGAATGGACTGATTATTCACAAGTACAAACATTATATTCACGTGGACATGAAATTGCATCACATTCAATAACGTATGTAATTTATATATTTGTGTGTGTGAATGTCAATCTTTGATTATCTAAATTGATTGTCTAACACATTATAGTCATAGTTTTGGTGAAAGTTATACCAGTCAACAATGGCATAATGAAATTGTTGGTCAACGTGAAATTCTACATCTTTATGGTGGTGTTAATAAAGCAGATATTCGTGGAATGCGTGCACCTTTTTTACAAGGTGGTGGTAATAAACAATTTGAAATGTTACATGAAGAAAATTTTACATATGATTCATCGATGCCAGTGTTTGAAAATTCACCACCATTTTGGCCATATACATTAGATTATACAATTAATCATGAATGTATGATTGCACCATGTCCAACCAAATCATTTCCAGGTATACAAATTATTGATTTTTTAAACCATTTCAAACAGAAAAAAACATTTCATTTTCTCGATTTTTTTTTAATATTAGGTTTATGGGAAATTGGTTTAGTTATGTGGCAAGATTTACGTGGTGGTCGTTGTTCAATGGGTGATGCATGTTCAAATCCATCTGATGAAAATGGTGTTTATGATTTAATAATGAAAAATTTTAAAAGACATTATAATTCAAATCGTGCACCATTTGGTCTTTATTATCATTCAGCATGGTTTAATTCTGAACATCATCGTCAAGGTTTTTTAAGGGTTATTGATGATCTTCTTACATATTATAAAGATGTATATTTTGTTACAAAATGGGAATTAATACAATGGATACGTAATCCAACTGCATTAAAAGAATTATATCGTGTAAATTTATTTAGTTGTGCACGTGATCCAAATCGACCACCACCATGTCTTCATCCGAATATTTGTAATGTTGGTGCAAATTCTGGTGTTCGGTTTTTGAAAACATGTCAACCATGTCCAAAACGTTATCCTTGGCTTGATGATAACGGACAATGATAATCATCATCATTTTTTTTCGACAATCATTCATTCATTCTATAGGACATTTGTTTATACATATAAAAAACACTTAAAACAATGTGATGACAATTCTATTATTAACACTTTTAGTAGCAATTTTCAAATTTCTTTTTTTTAAAAAAAATTTTCTGTTGTAATTTACACATGAAAATCTCTGTGTGCGTTTGTAAATAATTCCCAGAAAAAACACTGCCATATTATCAATTTTTTTCTTTGTTAATTTTTTTTACAATTTTCAATTCTGTACATCTTTTTTTTCCTGTTCTTTTTTTTCAATTCTCTGTTGCTGTTGTTTGTTTGTTTTTTGTTTTTTCTTTGGTTTAGAATTGGGATTGGTATATGCTGTTTTGTTTTTCTCTTTTCTCTCTTTTCTCACTTGACAAAACATTCTCTGGATTCAAAAACATTCCACTATCAGTATTTCTTAAATAAAAAACCAATTTGAGGCATTTGAGACAAAAAATCAATAATTTTATTTTCAAATAAAAAAAAAGAATCGATTTAAAATTCAAGGACAGCAGGTGAAAAGAAAGAAAAAACAATTTTAGATTTTACAAATTATGAAATTTTCTACTATTTTTTTTAAGTTCGAAGAAAATTTACCGCTAACCGGAGGGTGAAAAAAAATCACCGGGTTGATTATCTGGGAAGTGTTTTTTGAATGATGAAATGAAATGGATGGATGGATGTTTTCTTTTCTGTTTATAATTCTTCATTTTCAACAGGATCGGTTCGATCTTGATTTGTTTGTCGTTTACGTTTTTGTTTTTCATTATCATTCGGTTCATCATCATCATCATCATATTCACCATCATCTTTACCACCATTATCGACAACTTTCGGTATGGCACCTAATGCTGTCATTGCTTTTTCAACATCACGAACAAGATATTTATTACGATTACCATTCATTTCACCACCACCACCACCACCGATATCCGGATGATAATCATTCGAACGATTTTTATTAGCAGCGCCATCTTGTGTACGGTTATTATTATTTTGATTATTATCATTATTATTAGCAAAATGATTTCGCAATTTAAAATGATAAACAGCCCAACATGCTATTATCAATACGACAAGTAAAACCAGTACAGCAATTCCATAATAAGCCATTGCCATTGATTGATCATTCGATTGTTGACCATCTTGATTATTATTCATACCCAACATCGAACCAATACCAGTAGTAAGATTTTTCATACCATCCGGTAGATCATTTTTGAAAAAATCCACAGTTTTATTCTGTAGATTTTGTTCAGCATCGAAAACATTGTTAGCTATTTCAGTTAGATTATCTTTAAGATTTTTAAAAAGATCACTACCACCGCTGATTGGAAATAATGATGTTGTTGTTGAATTATCCGACAAAGATTGATTATTATTGATGATGTTGGCCACTGTTTCATTATCGAAATTATCCAAAATAGTCGTCGTGGCTATCGTTGTTGTTGTTGTTGACATTGTTGTTGTTGTTGTTGTCGATGATTGTGTAGCTGTAGTCGATGATTCAATCAAATCTGATATTGTCGATAAATTGGCCATCGAATCATCGATCATCGTTGTTGTTGTTGTTGTCTCTAAATTGTTGATTGTCGTAGTCGATAAAATCAAATCCAATAAGGCATTGGTGGTTGTGGTGGTCATAGGATCAGATATCATTGATGGTTTAGCCGTTGCTAATAAACCATCAAGATTATTATAATCCAAATTTATCAATGGTTGTGTTGTTGTTGTTGATTCACTCATCATATTATCAGTTTTTTATTTTTCAATTGGAGAAACCAAAATAAGAAAAAAATTTTGTTTATTTTTGCGACAAAACAAAACAAAAGTAAGAATTTTCACTTTTTCCTTATCACCACCGAAACACACCCTATTATCATCGATAGGTAAAAATAGGTTTTTTGTTTGAGCGAAAAAGAAGAATAAGGAAAGGAAACTTGGATGATCCGATGTCAAACAAAACAAAACAAACAAATGTCTATCTCGTAACCCGAAAAACAACAAATGTTTAAATCATATCACATCATCCATACACATAAACAATTTACCTTGGTGATTATCAAATTTTGGTTTTTATGTCTGTAATGCAACTGTATGTGTGTTTTTCCCCAATTTTTATACTAAATCATCAATCTATTTTGGCTGAAAACAAAAATTGTATCTTTTTTTCGGAAAGAAACAGAAGAAAAAAAGGATGATGATAACGAAATACAATAAGCAATTCATTCAATACGAAATAGAAAAATGATCAAAGGGATGTGGTGTGATGGGGAAAGAAAAGAAACTTTTTTCGTTCAAATATCGATATTGATTGATTTTCCGAAAAAATCATCATCATCATCGAAAAGACAACAAACAGAAAATGAATAACACATCAGACACCACTTTTGTTTATCTCGCGATACTTTCAATGTTGTTTGTTGTTTTTTGTTGATCAAAATGCCGCAATGAAAATCACAATGTCACAATGTTTGATTGTTGTTGTTGTTGTCAAGTTGATGATGATATTTAGACGATGACAATCGACTACGACGAATATTATTCGGATGAAAGGAGTAATAATCCTATCGAGCTTGTTTTAAACCAACGATATTGCATCGGGGGAAAATTGATTTCAATTTCTGGAGAAATTTTCAATGAAGAAATGTAACGAAAAAAAATCCGAATTCTGATAACAATTCCACATTTGATTAGAACGGAATTATTTCAAAAAAAAATCGATGCATTTTTTTCATTGTCAAATGATTAAAAAAAAATCGAAAACAAAATGATTCATTCAACCGAATGAATGATCATTTTGTTTGTGAAATTTTATTTTTTCATGGAAAACAAATGAAAAAATCCGACGGATTAAAAGGATGATGATGATACATATCTTTTGATGAACCAGAAAAAATAATAAAAAATAAAAATCGAACGATTATTAATCAACTTTGATGATCATCATCATCATCATCAAAGTTGATTAATTCAGTCAACAAACAAACAACAACAACAGCAAATCTCGATTTCCAAAATGATTTTTTTATTGTCTCGTATTAATTAGAACGCACACACGAAACTAAAAACAACGAAACGAAAATCTAGAATTATGCATCATCATTGAATTATTATTGATCGATTTTGATCATCAGTTATCAGTTATTTATTTATTTGGTAGAAACAAAATTAACGAAAAACGTACATATTCGATGATGATGAAGAGATCAATGAATGAATGAATATTGAGGCTGCTGTATTCACACAAAACACAACCAGAATTTGAAAAATTTCGCGCGCTACAAAATTGAAATTTTTTTTTTCATTTTCAACAAATAGAACTCGTGCTGCCATCTATATCCTCATAAAAAATCATTTTTTAATTTCATCAATTTTAGTAAAAATTTTTTTGAAAAAAAGTTTAAAAAAATTCAAATTTTAAAGAAAAAATTTTTCAAAATTCTCATGATTTGCACATTTAAATTTCATCACTTATTTGGATGATTTTTTTAATAATTGTCGAAGCATATATTGTAGGATACCACCATGTTTAAAATATTCCAATTCAACTTCAGTATCGAATCGCATAATAACTTCGAAAGTTTTATCATCGGCCTATTGAAAAACGAAAAGCGAGAAATAAATTTCGCCATCAAATTATCATCATATATTCTGTCAACTTACATGAACAGTTGTTTTCTGTCTAGGTACCAATTCCGTTGGAATATCGATCGAATAAATTTCCCGTCCAGTCAAACCAAGTGATTCAGCATTTTGACCATCCAAAAATTGCAATGGCATAATACCCATACCAACTAAATTACTACGATGAATTCGTTCATAACTTTCAGCAATAATAGCACGAACACCCAGCAAACAAGGACCTTTAGCAGCCCAATCACGACTTGAACCACAACCATAATCTTTTCCAGTCAAAATAATTAATGGTGTTGATTCTTGACGATAAAGTTGTGCAGCATCAAATATACTCAATTCTTGTCCACTTGGTAGATGAACGGTTTGTGGCCCTGGTTTCTGCATAAATTTATTCACCAAACGAATATTGGCAAAAGTTCCTCGTACCATTATAGCATCATTACCTCTTCTTGATCCATATGAATTAAATTGCGATGGTTGTATGCTAATTAACACACACAGGTTAATTCAGGTAAATATCATCCATTCAATTCAATTCAATTTCAAAAAAACATACCCTTTTTCCATTAAAAATTTAGCTGCTGGACTATTACGTGCAATTGAACCGGCCGGTGAAATATGATCAGTAGTAACCGAATCACCCAGAAAAAGTAAAACTCTTGCATTTTTTATCGGTTTTATTGGCGGTAATTCAATAGTCATACCATCAAAATATGGTGGTTTTTTTATATATGTTGAATTCGAATCAAATTGATAAAGTAATGATTCAATTGCATTTAAACTATTCCAACGTTCATTACCGGTTTTAATTTTTGAATAAACTTCTTTAAACATAGCCGGTATAACTGATTGTTGTTGTACTTTAAGAATTTCATCACGTGTTGGCCATATATCACGAAGAAATACTTCGGCACCAGTACTATCCAAACCAATTGGTTCTTTATCAAAATCAATACGAACATTACCAGCCAATGCATATGCAACAACTAATAATGGTGATGCTAAATAATTAGCACGGGTATTTGGATGTACACGACCTTCAAAATTTCGATTACCCGATAGAATACCACAAGTAACTAAATCACCTTTTTCAATAGCTTCAACAACTTCTTGTGGTAATGGACCCGAATTACCAATACAAGTCATACAACCATAACCAACAATATCGAAACCAAGTTTTTCCAAATAAGGTGTAACACCGGATTCACGAAGATAATAAGTAACAACACCACTACCCGGTGACATACTTGTTTTAATGTATGGCTTGACTGACAGACCTTTTTCCACTGCTTTTTTAGCCAATAAACCAGCACCCAACATTACCGATGGATTACTTGTATTCGTACAAGAAGTAATAGCCGAAATAACAACCGAACCATGTGAAAGTATATATTCTTTACCTTCAAACATAAATGGCATTGATTTATTTAATGCTTCAGGTGCAATACCAAAACCTTTAAAACCAACTTTAGCCAATAAACATTGTTCAAAATCTAATTTCATTTCATCTAATGGTATACGATCTTGTGGTCTTTTTGGTCCACTTAAACTTATCTTTATAGTACTAAGATCTAATTCATAAACTTTTGTATAGTTTGGATCTTCCCGGGGGTTATTATAATCATTACGAAATAATTTTACTGCTTTTAAATATGATTCAATATATTTGATTGCATGTGAATCTCTACCAGTTTGTTCCAGATAATTCAATGCCGTTGAATCTGGTGGAAAATAACCAATTGTTGCACCATATTCTGGACACATATTTGCAATTGTTGCACGATCAGCAATTGAAAGTTCCGAAACACCTGGGCCAAAAAATTCAACAAATTTTCCAACAACACCAACTTGTCGAAGACATTTTGTAATCGTTAGAACAACATCAGTTGAAGTTGCAAATGATGGTAATTTCCCGGTTAATTTATAACCAATAACTTCAGGTAAAACCATACAAATAGGTTGACCTAACATTACTGCTTCAGCTTCAATACCACCAACACCCCAACCAACAACACCTAATCCATTGATCATTGTTGTATGACTATCCAAACCAACCAAACTATCCGGATAAAGTAGACCATCACTATTAAATACAACGCGTGCTAAATATTCCAAATTAACTTGATGACAAATACCCGAACCAGGTGGTATAATCATTGTATTTTTTAAAGAATTTGCACCCCATTTTAAAAATTCAAAACGTTCACGATTACGTTGAAATTCTAGATCTTCATTTTTGGTTAATGAACCGGCACTATTTATGAAAAGAAAGAAAAGAAACAAAAAAAACAAAAATCACATAAGTAACCAAGAAACATAAACAAACAACTAAACTGAAATGAATGTGAATTTCAATGAGAAAAAAAGATAAGAAAGGAAATTGATTGAGTAAACAAAAACAAAACAAAAACAAAAAAAAAAGTTTCCAACCCAATAGATTTAAGACGATGGAATGGGCAATTTTTATCTCTTAATTTTGTATCACGATGTGGACAATAATCATTATTATTCTGATTATTATTATTAACCCTTAAGGCACTATTCGGGTAGGAATGATGATGATGATGATGTGGTAATGATGATATGGTTAGATTTTCGATATCGGTAACAAAATTCTGTTGTTGTTGTTGTTGTTGATTATAAGATGAAAAAGAAGTGGAGGATGATGTATTACGTTTCGTAGATCGTACATTATTTGTTTTATTCAATGATGCTTGATATTGACAGAAACCTAAATTCGAACAATCATCACATAAATCATCGTTCGAATGGGAATGTTTCATATGGAAGGATGATTTTTGTGATTTAGTTATTTGTTGACCGAAAACCTGTTGATTTCTTTTTGTTTGAGATTTGAAGATTTAAGTTTGTTTGTTTTTGTGATGAAAGAAAAAAAATAAAAATAAAGGAAAAAGAATATCGGTACATGTTTCGGACAAACAAACAGCAGAATAGATTTCAAATGATAAATGGTTAATTGATGGTTAATTTTGGGGACAGAAATAATGTTTTTTTGATTTTGATTTTGTTTGATTGAAAAGAAGCCAGATTGATAATAGAGATTTTTTTTCTAATTGAGTCATCTGAAACACAGATATCATATACTTACACTCGAGCAAAATCCACCTGAACCGAATGATCAATAACTAAATCAGCTGGACAAAGTGGATTAATAACATTTGGATCACCTTTTAGTTGTTGGAATGCATCACGCATGGCTTTTGATTTTGGGAATTCGGTGGGAAAAAAAACGAAAAAGTCGATTAGAAACAAGAAAACCAAAATCAAACGAAATAAAAAAATCTTACCGGCAAAATCAACAACAGCAGCAACACCGGTTAAATCTTGTAATAAAACACGACTTGGTCGAAATGGTATTTCCATTTTATTAAATTGTTGTTGTTTCCAATCTAAAATTTTTTCAACATCATTACGTTTAATATGAAAATTATCGCAACAACGTACAGCCGATTCGAGTAATACTCGAATGGAAAATGGTAATGTTTCTGTGCAAAAAAAAATGGAAAAATGAAATCAACGAAATCATCAACGGAATGGTCAAAAACAAAACAAAACAAAAACATACCATAACCGGAATGATTTAATGATGGTAAATCATAATAACGATATTGTTTACCATCAACATCAAGATTTTTTAATAGTTGGCCATCATAGGGATTCTCTGTAAGATTAACAACAAAAAATTAATCTTCGTTACAAAAATCAATCAAAGAATCGACTGAATACCTTTGGTAGACATTTTCTTCGGTTTTTTGGTGGATAACTTTTGAATCGAACAAAACAAAAATGTTTAAAAAAAAATTAAGTTTTTTTTGTTGTTGTCGATGTGAGCAGACTAAGATTATCGATGAAGGAAAAAAAACTAAAGTTCTAGCCACTAACTAAATAGAAAAAAAACTGGTCTTCGTGTGACATCAATGGTGAACATCGAATACTCTTTTGCTCTCTCTATCTCTATCTCTCTATCGATTGGCAATGTGGCAAAGTTGTTTTTCCTCTATTTTCATTTCTCATGTATGTACCGAGCTTGTGTGATGTGATAACAAATTTCCTCTCATATTAGGGGGGATTGTACATTTTTTTTGTACTATTTGCTGGTGGTGGTACACAAGAGAAGATAATTTTGGTGTTTTTTTCAAAGCAAACTTTTTTTTATGCATAAAAAAACAAATCAATTACAAACCGTTTAGGTGATTTTCAAAGGATTTTTTTTTAATCGATGGGAACGACGTTTTTGATTTGATTTTTTTTGTTTGTTTTTTGATTTGGCAATTTGTTGATTTGATTTTTGTTTCGCGGATGATAATATCCTCTCATCAAACACAGAAAAAACATTCTCAGTTTGACGCGACATCTTTTGGAACCTAAACGTATCCACATATGTCAAAATAGTGAAAAAATATTGTTTATTCGATGACCTTTTCGTTCGATTCAATTTTGATTTTTTCGGTGGTTTGCTTTGGTCTTCAAAATCTCCCGTTCTGATTGACCATCTTTATCTTTTTTTTTTAAATCGATAATGTGGTGGGAAGCATTACCAGCTTGTGGTGCCATGTTGGCATCCTTATCTTTGCTTGAAATATCTCCATTTGTAAGTTTATATACGACTTGACTCAATGAAAGAATTGATTTTTTTTGTTTTTGTTTTTGTTTCAAGGTTTTTCATTATCTAAGTTGGGGTTGTCCTATGATGCGTGAATCAAATGGACATATATCACGAATGTTATTACGTCGTGATCAACGTATTGCTGAAGATTTTGGTATTCGTTGGGATGCTAAACATATGTATACTTATTCATTTGGTTCATTAACTGATCAAGTTAAAACTGAAGGAAATTATAGTCATTATTTGAATGCTGAACAACAAATGTTACAAAAACAACAACAACAAAAATGAATTGTTTAGAATTTTAATCTTAATTTATCATATAAGTAAATAAACAGAAAATCAAATCTTTAAAAACAAAAACGAAAAAAAAAAATTTAACAGATCACATTCCGAATACACATTGGTTATGACTGAGTAAAATCAGGTTAGTTTTAGAGAGAGAGAGAAAGAGATTAGAATATTGATCATATAATGGCGCATCGATTAACCGGATTAATGAAAGACTTTTTATTAGATGATGATGGTAATATATAATGTTGATTGTCACAATGATAACAAGGTAATGTTCGATGATTATTATTATGATTATGATGATGATGAGCATGATTACCGATACACATTGTACCATCAATTAATGATACATCGGGTGTTGTTTGTGAACGCCAAAGTTTACCACCACCACCGCCACCACCGGTTTTGGAATTCGACGGCCATAACAAAGGATTCGCTGTTGCTTTGGCGGGATTCGAACGTGGCATAATCTGTAATGTTGTTGTTTTATGTATAACATGTGGTTTATTATTCATACCACCAATATTAATTGTTTGTGGTTGGACTACAGTTGTATGATGATTATTACCACAGATATTATTTTCAGTTAATAATTGTTTCAATGTTCGAAATGAACGTGATAAACGAGATGATACTGTATTCGAATGTTGATTATCATTTTTGATACAATTTTCAAGAAATTTTCTCGATGATGGTTGTTGTTTCGATTCTTTTTCTTGTACAGGCGAATTTGATTCCGATACTTGTTTTGTCAATACACTCTTCATTTGTTTTGGATCTTTTTTCATTTCGATTGTTTCTTTTACCTGCTGATCATCCGATTTTGATGGTGGTAGTGGCGTTGGCGGTGTTGATGTTCGATTAATAGCATTATGAATTTTTTGTAAACGTGATTTTTCCGTAGAATCATTCGAAGATTCAGTGGTTTTGGTTAATTGTTTTGAATTCTTTGATTTATCATTCAATTTTGGACATTTACTATTCGCATCAACAAGCTTGGTGGCTGGAATTTTTCTTGCATAATGTGCACGAATTCGTTCTAATGGTGCAACACTCATACTGGTTGTACGACGAATTGGATTCCATTGATCACCACCAATAGTAGTTATATCATTCGATTTTGATGATGATTGTTTACGTTGTTGTCGTTCATTGGATGATTGTCGTAGAATTCGATGCATCAATATTCGAAATGTTCCAACAATATGACTATGTGAACCTTTATCAATATGATCATTCAAAATTTTTTCATCAATTCCAAGTAACATAAGCTGATGAAATGTTTCTTTTTCATCATCATTTAGTGGTGGATATTGTTCATTATGATGATGATCAGCATTATCAATCGATTCAGATGCTACAACAGCAGTGGACATTTTTCTATGTCGAATCAATTTACCATATGATGATTTTAGATCATATTTTGGTAGACTACGTTGATTTAATTGATTTTGTAACCATCGGGTATGACGAGCTTGATCTAATGTAAAACGTTTTAATGGATCCGATTGTAGAAATCCATTGATCAATTGACAACATTCGAGGCTAACATAGTTCGGTATATCATAATGACAATCAAGTATCAATTTCTTTAAAGAGATAATATTCTGTGCACGAAATGGCATCATACCGGTAACAATAAAATAAAGCAATACACCTAATGCCCAATAATCAACATATGGTCCACGATATGATTCATCACGAAATAATTCCGGTGCAGCATATGGTGGTGAACCACAAAATGTTGATAGCAATTCATCACGGGATGTGATACGTGTGGAAAAACCAAAATCACCTACTTTTACTGTTATTGGATCGGAAAAGAATACATTTTCTGCTTTAATATCACGATGTATAAGGTTATGTTGATGCTATTCGAATCCAGAAAACAAAACAAAAAACAAATCAGACTCAAGATTTTTTATCCAAAAAATTCACTAACCATATGATCAATGGCACTAATAATTTGTGCAAAAAAATGTTTAGCTTCTAATTCAGAAAAACGGCCATTTGTTGAGATCACTTGAAATAGTTCACCACCAGGTGCTAATTCCATAATTAAAAAATGTTTACTAAATGATTCAATAACTTCGAAAATCCGTATTAAATTTGGATGATGTAATGTTTCCATTGTACGTATTTCTCTTGCCAACATTTTCTGTGTTTTCATATCCAGACGTGATTTGTCCAGAATTTTTATGGCAACTTTTTCTACACGAAAAAAATCAAATTTTGTTAGACAAAGGAAGGAAACAATTCGAAAAGAATTTACCTTTAGTCAATGAATGAATGGCTATTTTAACCTGAGAAAAATTACCATTACCAATATCACCACGAAACCGATAAAGACCGATACGTCTACCGAATGCAATCTCTTTTTGCCATGTTTTATCCATCTGTAGTGATTGTCGAATCCGTTCATATGGTGTTATTATTCGAACATTTGGTTGTTGTTTATTAAAACTTGCACTACGTCTTTTAGCCGTTACGGGATTCTTTGTCGATTGTGAATTAGGTTTTGACCATGATGTTGTGGATTTTTGTGATGATGCAGATCTCGATCCACGTAAAAATGTTGTAGGTTTTTTTGATTTTTTTTCATTCGATTCTGTTGTTGTTGTTGTTGTCGGGGGTGTAGTAATGATAACGTTATTGGCAGGTTCGGATGTATTCGATGTTGTCGTCGTCTCTTCCCAAGACGAATCACCCAATGAATCTTGTTTATTCGAATTCGAATTGGATTTCATCAATGGTTTCGTCGATTTTTGATGATAATGATGATGATGATGATGAGGCTGTTGATGGCAATGAGCATGATGATGGTGATGATGACAATGACAATGATGATGATTGACATTTGATTTTACATTACGATTTTGTCGATTTGTTTCTGCCGAATGACTAGATTGTTGTTGTTGTTGTCGTTCAATAAGTATCTGTTGATAAAGATCCAATTCTTTTGTTAATTTTAATTTCCAATCCATCATTGATTTTTGATTGATTTTTTTCTTTTTATTTGTTTGACCATTAACACCACCATCGTTAAATGAATCAATTTCAACGGGTGTTAATATTTCTTCTTTTCGATTTTGTTCATCATCATTATCCGGTACCATATCTAATCGGGTAATTTTTTCCTTTTTCAATAAAACAATCGATGTATCGATTGTTGATTTTCGATTGTTATTATTTAGATCAACAGGTTTTCGTTGACGGGAACGTCTTGGAATTGTTATGGGTGGCGGTGGTGGTGGTGGTGTTGGTGATGATTTTTGCATTTTACCATCAATTTGTCGAATGTTGGATGATAATTGCTGTTGTTCTTGATGTTGATGTGATTGTGATAATGTTGAAGCTGGATTACTACAGCTGCTATTTTGACTGCTACTGCTGCTGTTGTTACTGCTAATACTATCATTATTATCACTAAATAAATGATTATTTTTATTGTCAATCAATTTTGCCAAAATGGATGATCGTGGTGATGTTGATGGCGATGGCGATGGCGATGGCGATGATGAAGATGTGGATGATGCGGATGATGAAATCGTAGGCGTAAGCGTAGGTGATTGTGAACAATGTTTTTTTCTAATTTTATTAATGTCTTCATCGTGATGATCATCATGGTGATGATGATGATGATGATCGATATCCTGATTAAGACCACTATCACCATCACAATCATCATCAACATCAATATTATCATCGTTGGTGGTGGTGGTGGTGGTGGTTGAATTGGTCATCGGTATAATCGATTGTTGTTGTTGATGGTGATGATGATGATGATGAACACCCACTTGATTTATTCGATTGGTGGTCGCCGTCGTCGTCGATGCTGTTTTAGTCATGGTCATCTTTTGAGTTGCGAGCGAAAAAGAAAAATGAAGAGGATTAATTCAATTCGGGAAAAGACTGATTCAAAAGAATCAAAAAAACAAACAAAAACAGAAAAAACAAAGGAAAAAAGATCCCGAATGCTTCGTGCACACATTATGTTTACTCATTGCTGTCACAATAGTCGAACAATGTTCGAATGTTTTGGAAAATTGTTGATCAAACAAACTTGAATGAAGAGAGGTATCTTTGAATTTTTGTTTTGTTTTGTTTTTTGTTGACAAATGGCCATTTTGTAAAAAAAGATTCAAACATTCTTCAATTGAATGAATGAATGATTGGTGCTCTCAATCAACAAAAAAAACATTGTTGATTTTTTTTGGAGTGCAAGCGAAATACGGACGAAAAACACGGACACGGCCCTCAAATTTATCTCGAATTATGATGATAATAATATCGGGCGAGACAACACTTACTTAGTGCATCTGCAGCAGTAGAAATACTAGCGAGAAACAAACAAGTAAGTTTATAAGTTTTGTTCAAAAAAAAAAAAAATTAAACTAAAATAAATCGGTAATTACATTGACAGCAACAGTCGACGAAGCACAATTACAAACGGAAATGTTGATGTATCACACCTGTTCATCGTTATCACAACGGAATGAAATGAAGCTTATTATTTTTTTAAAAAGAAATGGTCGACACCCGATGATTGAATCGTATCGAATTGAATTTGAATTTGATTCGACAACAACAAAATTATGATGAAATATGATTTTTGGTTATGAATTATTATCGTGACCGAAGAAGAAAACTAACAGTAATTATTATTATTTTGATTTGAAAAATTATTTAAAAATTTGTTTTTTTTTTGACTAGAAAATCATCACTTCTGGATAAAAAAAGAGAGTGTGTTTGTGGAAAATGTAGAGCATCGAATATTTTCAAATGGATTCGATTGATTCGATATCGAATGTGTTTGATAATAACAACAACAACAATTTGCCAACAACAACAACAACAACAATAATGATAATCGTTTGTCCAAGGTTGGACCTCAAAAAACAAAATAGACTCTCTCAAATGATGATAAATGTGGGTGTGTGTGTTTGATCGACAAACAACAGAAAAAAACTAAGGCAAATTGATGATGGTCGATGATGTGTTTATAGCCTTTTTTTTATCTTCATCATGGCAATGATATCAATGAAATGAAATCAATCAATCAATGGAACAAAAAGTCATAAAAAACCGTAAATTTGATCCCGAAAAAAAAAGTTCCGGGTTAACCTATTTTTTATGGCCATTTTTTCCCCCATCATCATCCAACCAAAAGCCAAACCAGAACTGGAAAACCACAAGCATACCACCACCAAAAGCCTATTTCAGCGGACCAAACAACAACAAATTTGAAAGAAGAAAACATTGTCCAAAAAATCAATTTGTAATAGATATTATTTTTTTTGTTTGCCTCGACCTTGATTCCAGAAAGTGATCAGAAAAATGAAACGAAGAGAGAGAGAGAGAGAGAGAGAGAGATATGTGTTGTATTCATATTTCTCTCTTCGTTTCCCCTATTGTAACCATAATGATAATGATGATGATGAACAGATTGTCAATGGCGAAGACGTCGAAATAGAGAAGAAAAGATAAACATTGTGCATTTATGCATGGTCGAAGAAAATGAAAATGATGAATTTTAATTACAAAAAAAAAGAAGAAAATTTCCATCATCGTTTTCATGATTAATCAAAAAAATGAAAATTGATTGTAAAGGTTATTTTCAAAAAGCAAAAGTCCCTTCGTTGTCGTCGTCATCAACAACAATTGATCGTCAATTGAAAAATAATAATAATCATTTCATTTCTCATTGGTCAGATGGGAAACAAACAAACAAACAAACAACGAACGAAAATGTTAATTATTTTTCTTCGACCAAAAAAAATCAAGATAAGTTTTTTTATCTCTTTTGTCGATTATCAAGATGCTACTGTTCTGTGTTCTATTTGTCTATTTACACAGCAATATACACACCACAAATGTGTAAATTGAATGGACGAAAGAAGATCTTTTGGAAATCTTTATGACGAATTGAATTGATTGAATTGAATGGTTTTTTATGGCATTATTGAATGTGAACCTTTTGACGTTGTTGTTATTGTTTACCATGGTGGTGACAATTGGATTGTTGCAGGCAGACAGGCAGGCAAAAAATCAATTGATGATGATTACTTAATGACACGGGTACCGATATATATTGAAAGAAAGAAAGAAAGAAAAGATCCAAATACAAATGTTTACAATGTAATAAAAAAAAATTGGACAAACAAACAGCAACAGCAACAGAACAAACATTGAGAGATATTCAACGGAACAAAGCAAAACAAATACAGAAACTGAAAAATGTTTAGTCAAGTTGGTTATTGTAATGGTAATTCTTCATATTGATGGTGTTATGATCGATTGAATTGAATTGAATTCAATTCAAGATTCTCTTTTTATCTTTATTTGCGTCAAATAAAATTCAAATAAAGATTATACGTTATCAATTAATTATTTTATTCGGAATTGAGAACGAAAATCGAAATGTCAAAAAACACACAAAAGAACAAAAAGCAGAACACACAGCAAAACCGAACAACGAAATATCAAGGGAAAAAGTCAAAGCAAACTTTCTTCCTATTCAAGATATCACTTCTTTTTCACTTCTTTTTTCACTTTTTTTTCACTTCTTTGGTTTGATTCTGACAAATGTAAATATATTCACAAGGATTATCTTGTTTTTATTCATATGAACAAAAAAAAAAAATATTCAAAAGTGGTTGTGTAAGAGTGAATAAGTGGCCAATATTTACACAAAAACACACAGACACACTTGAAACTGATCATCAATCAATCGAACGATTGATCAATTGATCGAACCAGAAGTGGTCGCTTTGTGTTGTCAGTTAGTTAAGTTAAGTTAGTTTATAGTTAAAGTATGCGAGTATAGTGAAACAAAAACATGATAGGTTATTAGGTCACAATAGGGATTGTTGTTGTTGCTGTAATTAATAATTATTAATTAGCTTTTTTTTTGATGTTTGCCAATGTTGTTTGATTCGTCAACAAAGATTTGCTCGATTTTTTCACCACCGATTTTTTCCGTTTGATCAGATCGAAATTGAAAACAGAAAAAGAAGAATTCAAATTTTTTCACCTATTTGGTTTCATGAACAACCGAACAATGAATATTAATCGAGTGAAACAAATTGATGTTTTCGCTGGATCAAATTGATGGTAATAATCGTTGATAATGATGATGATGATGATGATAAAATCGAATATTAAGCAAACATCACGCAATATGCACATCAATGGATCGATTTAAGTCGATTTAGTCGAATCGAACGAAATGATTCGAATTTCGAACGATTTCGTATTATCGTTCGATTATCGAATAACTAAATGATTTTTGGCTTTTTCTGATTCTGTTTTGGCTTTTTTCTTGACTTTTTTTTCTGGATAATTAATTTAAATTCATCCAGAAATCATCATCATCAAATTATCATTATTATTGAACACAAGCTGGTGCAAATGGTGGTTTAAATGATTAATGAATTGAAAATTTACTTTTCAATTTTATCATCATTATCATTACCATTATCATCACCATCATCATCCAGAAAAGAAAAACTAATAATAACCGTGCAAGAATTTTGTCCAAAAAACATTATACGTGACATTGATTTTTTTTTATTTAGATTTTTTCTGTTTGTTCCGTATAGGAAATAAATCTGTCATTATCATCATCTTTCCTTACTTGAATCGACCTTATGTTTATGTGTTATGTGTGTGTGGGGAAAACGTTTAAAAAAAGAAGAAAAAATTTTCTATTAATTTTTGTTGTTGATCAAATCCAAATTGAGTGAAAAGAAGAAGAAGAAGAAAGCAAAAAAAAAAACTTCAATGATAATCATGAATAAATGATGGCGTCGAATATGGTGATAGATCGTTAGATTCACCATCAACCATCAACCATCAACCATCATCAACCAAAAGCCAATATATTCACACATTTTACATTCAAAAAATGAAATGTGTGATTGAATCAAAATGAACAAAAAAAAAATAGAAATTCAATTTTCAAGTTCGTTCAAAGATGTTCCAAAAATGGTTTTCCTCATCACCATCACCATCACCATCATCATGATCATTATCATCGTTTAAAAAAAAAAATAGTCGTAGGTGTTTTTTGTTGTTTGGTTTTGATGAAAATAATAACAGCAGCAGCAGGGTGAAAAGTATAGTGGTGGTGGTGAATATAGCGATTCAGCCAGCATTCATCATAATCCTATCATTGATTTCGAATGATGATGATGGTTTTATTATTATTGTTGTTGGCCAATCTGAAAAATGATTATGAATTTGCTTTTGAAGGTTATTTGACGCCTTTCCATCAAAACATAAATAAATCCAAAATATCCATTCAACAACAAGAGAAAAATTGTTTCAAATCATCATTATGGTGGATCGATTGATTGGTTAATTGCGTTTGAAAATTGAAATTTCAAAACGACGACGATGATGATAATGATTCTCATATTAACCACCATTTTGGTAATGGTTTTTTTTCCTTTTGTTTTTGCTCACAAAAAAAAACAAAAAACAAAAGACGACGAAGCATCATTCGAAAACATTAATATTCGAATCGAATCAAGAATGAATGGATCGAGGAAAAAGAAGAAATCAATCAATCAGATCGAATCTAATGATAATGATGATGATGATAATTTGAAAAGAAACTAAGAAAAATTTAAAATTCAAAGTTTTTTTCTTCTGCTGTTTCAGTTGCTGCAACTAATAATTAGATCAATGGAAAACAATGTACAATGTGTGTGTGTGATCATTATCATTTTATTCATATTATTCATTTGATGATAATATGAATGTGGAACAATCGAAACAAACAATTTCAAAATTTTCAAATCTCAAATCAATCAATGAAAAGAAAGATTGAGATCAATCTATTGGCAATGATCAAAATGAATTTTTCTTTTCCAAAAGGTCTGTTTTTTTTTTTGTTTCGTTTCGTTTCGTTTCGCTAAAGAAAATGATAATAAATTTTCAATTTTCAAAAAAAAATTGACAACCGCGAATAAGGCCAAACAATTCCTATTCAGCTATATGACTTTGTGTTTGGTAAAAGAAAGAAAGAAAGAAGGAGACAATTATAATTGATACAATTGAATGATTTTTTCTTTTTCATGCAGGGGCATTCATCCGCCAAGTTTTTCCTACAAAGCTAAATTTAAGCGGAATATTTTTAAGCGAACTTTTGTTTTTGGATTTTGAACCAGGTCAACAAAAAAAATGATCTATTTTCAGTCAGATAACACAGTGACATTGGATTCGAAATACGCCCGGCTAACGGAAAAGTACCGTTTTTTATCAAAAAAAATTGAAAACATTTTTTTACCTTTTTTTTGTTTTTGTTTTCAGATTGGCAGTTTAATGATAATGATGATCATTGATGGATGTTCACATTAATTGATAAACATTGGACATTTGATTCGAAGAAAAAAAACAAACTTGTCAAAAATCAAGCAAAACATTTGATTGAAAACTTGTCAAAAAAATGGTCGATGATGATGATCGCGAATCGAACGGAACGATCACTATAAACACAATGTTTGTCTGTTTCTGTAATTGTGCTTGGTATGGTGGAAATAGAAAAAAGAATGGCTTTTGGCGACTGTTTTTCTCTGTTTTTCCTAAAATAGCTCCACCTCTTCCTTTCTCTTCTGTTTGGGAAAAACATTGTAACACAATTGGGAGGAAGCCTTGAAAATGAAAATGATTCGAATTGATATTGCGCAGATTGACCAACAACAACAACAAAAAAAATGTATTCGATTTTTTTTTTGCTGATATTCGATGATCCTCGAACGAAATCAATCAAAGATTATCAATCAAAAAATGATCCGAAAAAAGATTTTTTTTTTTTGGGTATTCATTTTCTTGGATAAAGATCGTTCTATATTCGTTTCGGGACGATATTTTCAAAAAAACAAATTTCATTTGAAATTCAACCAAAAATATCATTTCATTCTGAAAATATCAACCGATCAAATTAACAGTCGTAATCAAAAATGACCAACCACCACCACCAGGCAACCAAGCGAAAAAAAAACTTGGTCATTGTCTGTATGTCGGTGTGTGTGTGTGTATTGTGTTTTTATTGTGCCCGAATAAAATGGTGTCCAGATCTGACTGTCATCGCCACCGTTGTCGTCGTCGTGGATATTTATTTATGAAATGTGAGGATGATTCCTAATAATAGTATCCGCTTGTCTATCTATCTGCCTGCCTGCTTGTCTCTTTTTTTTTCACTATAGACACCTATACACACCATTGAATATCATTATATTTCTTTTACTTTTTTTGGTCATCGTTTGTTCCATAATGGTACGTGTGTATTGTAATCGGTCGGTGTTTGTATCAGTAGAATATATTTGCAACAAACAAAAAAATAATAAACCAAAATGAGAAATTGGGTTATTGCTTGCTTGCTTGTTTTTTTGGTTGTAACCGATTTACGGTTACTACAATTTCAAACGGTAAAAACAACAAATTCACAACTCTCGAATCAAAAAAAAAAAAATTTGTTTTTTTTTATATGGAATAAAATGAAATTAATTTATTAGATAATAATCGTGATAAAATACCATGATAAAATCCAAATGAAAGAGGAAGAGAGAATAAAATGAAAAAAAAGTGTGAATAAAATTCAATTCGACAAATACAGTCGTCGTCGTTGTCGTTTTCTTCTAGCAATAATAAAGAAGATTCTGTACTTTTTTATCAATTTTAACCCATTGATTAAGCTGTGAAATGATTCGTTCTTCAGCATCTTTTGGATTAATTTGGCTTAATTTGCATTGTCCTTCAATATGTAATTTGGAACGATAAGCACATAGATCAGCATAACGAATCGGTGTAGGTATAGCAATAACACCACGAAAACGTACACAATTAAAACACATAAAAAAACATAATTGTTGCAATTGGCTTGGTTGCAATTTTAAATCATCACGTATGATGACATATTTTGTTGGTTTTGATGTTCCCTGTTTATACAAACAAACAAACAAACAAACACATGATTATCACCATCATCAACAACAACAAATATCAATCAAACTTACCAATGGTGAAAAATGTGAATTAACATAGAATGAATCATATTTTGGATCAACAATAGAATTATCCACAACAGTACCTGATGGTACATTATGGCTTGATCGTTTTGGTCCATGTCCACCTTGTGTACTAATAAAACGTGTATGATGACGTTTTTGTACAATAAACAATACAATTTTTACTTTTGGATTACGTTCTTTAGCTGCTTTTACAATCAATGGTAATTCTTTATCTTTGATTTTATCAAATTGTCCTTCACTAACACCATCACGAAATATTATCAATGTTTCCGGATATTTACCATTCTTTTGATGATAAACCATCAATAATTCATCAATCATTATATTCAATCGTGTAATAATTTCATCACGATCTTTTGGCTGTACAGTTAAACTGGCTGTATATCGTGAAAATTCTCTATCCAAACTACCAACAGCCGCAGCAACTGATGAACAACTTTGTTCATCAACACTTGGATGATTAACATCAATACCAACAACCATAGTACTGGCCGGATCAAATTTCATTTGTTTTGCCAAAAATTCTTTCGGATCAACAATACTATTGACACCGCCAACTTTTCCATTAACTTTAAGCAATAAATTCTGCAAATATCCACCTTTTGGTCGTCCATTAAAAACATTATTGCTTTTCATGCATTGTGTAACGAAACCAAATCCACCTTTATTTTCAGCATCGGATGCAGCACGTTCACTAAATGCTTTTACCAAATTATAAATATCGACCGATGGTATTCGTTGATTTCCTATTTTCGAAAAGAAAGAGAAAAAACATTAAAAATGAGCAACAAATAGAATTAACAGAACTTACTATCACCAGTCGGTATAATAATAAATGCAACATCTAATGGTGAATCCGGTTTGTTGAAAGCTTTATTAATATTTTTCATAACCGATACAACATGTTGATGATTTTCAATTTGTCCTTGTACAAAGATATTCGATGTTTGTCGTTGAAATCGCATACCAACTTGTTGACCAGTTTGTATAATTTGATTGGCCAATTCTTCTAAAGCACCTTTCGGTATTGATGAATCCAATGAAAACAATACCCATTTTAATTCTTTTTGTGGTGTACGACAATATGGTTGATTTTGTGATTGATTCAATTGTTTCGGTGCTGGTAATACACGACCAATTAATTTGGCCGGTTTCATCATTAAATCCAAACCAAAATCTTGAAACAAACGTTGACCATCTTCTTTAATTTTGGTTGTATAATTGGTTGTTTTTTTAAAATAAACATCCGGATTATTAGTGGATGCATAAAGTAAATCTTGTTGTATTTTATCATCAATTTTGGAATTAGCCAAAAATTGTTTATCCACCAAATAACATAATTCCATTGGAAGATATTTTGCAATTTTACCAGTTGTTTTGATCAATGGATAATTCTTCACTGTAAATTTATATGTTTCCTTGAAATATGATGCAATAGTTCCTTTTTTCTGATCAATTTTCTGATCATATGGTGTTACATTAACAAAACGTTCAATCAAAAATGTTCGTTTACCACAATGATTGGTGAAAATTTTCATGTGACGACAAAATTTATTCAGATTACGTAGATCATGATCACGTAAACGATCAGGTGATTGACGACAAAATGATGATACTAATTCATCAACACGATTCAATGTTTTTGATATTAAACATGCTGTTTTCAAGTGAATATTCATAGCAGGTCCAAATTCAGTCATACGAATTGAATTTGCAAATCCGGGTGCAAATTGACACCAATCACGATTACGACAATCACTTACATCATTAGCATTGAAAAATTTTCGTTGATAATATTCGAATGATATTTCACAAACATTATTAAAAATAACATCCAATACGGAAAATATTTTCGGTTCAATAACTGATGTTTTTTTTGAATAATAATCCTGTAATGGTTGTAAGGATATTTTATCAGCCATTTTGATTTTAATTTCAAATGTACGATTTTTACAATCAATTTCATGAACAAATTCTTGAACGAAACCATTATTTAGATCTAATTCTTTAACAGTATAAAGATTTTTCCATCCATCATAAACATAGCTAACATTACGAAATATTGTTGGATTTTTTTCCACCCATTTTGGTAATAATGTTCGTGCATGTTTTTTTAAAAATTTTTCATTCTGTTCACGTGCTGGTTTGTTAACATCAGCTTTTTCTTTGATATCAATATCATAATGATAAACGGTTTTAACTTTGACACAAATTTTATAAAAATTTGATAATAATTCGATTTCGGTACCAAAATCAGATTTTGGCATCTGACTTTTACGAACAATAGCATAGGATTCACCTTCAGGAATAACAACAGGACCTGATGGACCGGATGAAAATCCACCACCACCACCACGGCCACGACCACGATTAAATCCACCACCATCACCGCGACCACGGTTAAATCCACCACCATGGCCTCGGTCACCACCTTGACCGCCAAATCCACCTCGGCCACCACCGCCACCATATCCACCTCGGCCACCACCTTGACCGCTTCCACCTCGGCCACCACCGCCACCATATCCACCTCGGCCACCGCCGCCACCACCACCATATCCACCGCGACCTCGCCCACGTTGACCTTCACCACGACCAGCTAATAAAAGAAAATCATATTGATTTTTAAGAAAAATATTTCCAGAAAAAAATAAAATCAATTTGACATCGACAAAAACTTACACATTTTTTCTTAATTCGTTTACGAAAAGTTTGAAGTTTTTTTTGTTAGAAATAAAAACCAAAATTAAAAACGCAAAATTAGCAATCAAAAATCAAATAAGCAAGCTGCTTCAATGATGATCACCACAATAAAACAAAAACAAAAAAAAAAATAAAAATGGACGACAGGCTCAAATCAAATCAATCGAGTTGAGCAGAGTGATTCGAATGATAAAATGCTCGTTTCAAAGATCAGCAAAAAAAAAACAATACAGTAAAACTTTGTCATCACAAAAAAAAAGATTTTTCTCGAAAAACTTTTAAGAGTGATATGCTTGATTGATATATCAAGAAGCGAGAAACGAACAACAAGGTTATATTAGCAATTTATAAAAAACAATATTGATTTTGGGAATTATTTGATCAAAAAAAAAAAACAGAAAGAAAAAAAACCGATAATAATCTTTGCGTTTGTCGAAGATATACTGTATGTCAAGTATGTTTATATCAACAAATTTCTTGATCAGCCATTTCAGCCATTAGCTCTTAGCCATGCCCAAAATTTACCCTAATAACACGCAAGCTATAACGCTAAAAGCCAGGCAATATTTAATGTTTATGATGCAAGACAAGAAGAAGACAAGATAATGTTGATTTAATCCTATCATTTATGAACGGTTTCCATCGATATTGTTATCATCGATTGTTCGATTGTTGTTGTTGTTGTCGACTTTTTCTCCCCCTTTCCTTCGAATTTGATTTGCCGATCATCAATTTTTTTTTCTTAATTTCGAAATTATCGTCAAAAGAAAATGGCCAATACATTTGCTGTGATTGTTTCGGGACGTTTGGTAAATGATATTGATTGATGTTTCGATTGATTGAGTTGATTAAATTTTTTTTTCAAAAAAAAAAATCATTCAGGTTCAAACAGATTTTCAACAAGTCGAAGCAAATAAATTCTTGATTACAATACCAAATGCTGATGATATTAATCATGTGGTTGTATTCTTGACCGGTATGGTACCATTACCGGTTGATATGGCTGGTGCTGTATTTTTTAGTTTTCCTGATCCATCATCACCACCATCATGGATTTATTTGGGTTATATTTGTAATGAAAAACCATCGGCAATATTTAAGATTAATAAATTAAAAAGAATGACCACTGGTAAATCAATCAATCAATCAATCAATCACCTTATCCCAAATTGATGATAATTTTTTCTCATTTTTCAGATTCATCAGCATTAGTTGGACCAGTAGCCGGTGGTGGTGGTGGTAGTTTTGGTTATATACAACCAATCATATCACATGTAGCACAAATCGGTATATCAATTGAATCAAAAATATCCGTTTCACAAATGATAGCTGATCCATCAATAATAACCGGTACAGATACTGGTACAAAATTTGAACAATTTGCAACAAAAATGGCTGAAAATCTTTATAATTATTGTTCATCATTTTCAAATACTTTACAATTTTTTCTAACAAATTCCAATGCCGGTGGTATTAATCCAAATCAACAATTAATACCATTATCAACAATTAATGATTGGTATACGAAATTCATACGAAATTTTAAACAAAATCCAGATTTTTGGAGATAATGAAATTGATTTTGATTTTGTTCAATCAAAAATTTTTTATTTTTTGAAAATGAAAAATATTGAAATTACAATTGGATACTTTTTATTATTAATAACTTTCATAATGATAATGGTTGTGTGTGTGTGTGGTATAATTCAATTATCAGCTTCTTTACCGTGATTTTAAAGGGGGTGGTGAGAAAGGAGGAGGGGAAAAAAAACTCAATGATGATCAATTTTTCGGTGTATTCATCTTCGCCTGATTACGTACACGACGTTCATATTCAGTTTTATCGTTACTAAATTTGAAAAATGTTCAGAATGTGAAAATGAAATGCTCAAATTTTTTTTTCAATGTTAAAAAAAAATCTTACCAATAAAATGTATATGCTTCTGCTTGTGCTGGATCTTTTACATTCGGTTCATTAAGTAATTCTTGTATACCAATTAAAATCTGTTTAATTGTTGTTGATGGACGCCAATCTTTTTCTTCATCCAATAACGAAAGGCAAACAGTACCACTTGGATAAACATTTGGATGAAATAATGGTGGTTCAAATTTACATTTAGGTGGTGTTGATGGATAATCATCTTTAAAATACATTTTAAGTTTATAAAGACCACCTTCCCAAGCCGTCTACAGGATTGATTTATTATTGATGATGAATTTTTAAAATCAAAAAGAAAACGAATGAATTACTTACACCTGCTTTACCGGGTATAGCACATTCCCATTCCTGTAGATTATATGTATCATCCGGATTTTTAACCGGTTTGGCAAAAAAACCCTTTGTATCCAACAAAAAAAAACCAAACCAAATTAATTTCCAAAAACTTTTTTTTGTTTGTTTTGTTCAAAATTACTTACAAATGGATGATCTTTACGCCATGCTTTTCGTTCTTCACTTAACCGTGTTAAAGCTATTTTGTCCATAATTTTTCATATAATTTTTTTTTTTTTAAATTTTCGTATCAATGCGATGATGCAATTTTAATTAGAGCTGATAAAATGAAACACCGATGAATGAATTTAATGAAAGAACGTTGACAGCTACAATGATGACGGTTTTACTGTCAATTTTTTTGTTGAAGAATGAACGGAAATTAAGTTTTTTTTTTTGGAAAAAAATCAAAACATGTCGCTTTTTTGGTCTTTTTTTTCTTGATTTTTGTTCCCCCTTTTTTTTCTTCTTCTTTCAATTATAATTGATTGATTGATATCACAAGAAAGTATGTCCGCGTAACGCGAGCCAAAAATTATAATATTCGGCACTATTCATAAAGACGTTCTATATGGTCATTCTTCGCTTTCGGATCCGGTACGGAATTTTCGAAAAAACGAAATTTCCTGTTTATTTCATCATGTTTCGGGATTTTGACGCTTCTAGAATCTATTTAGATCAAAATTATTATCGATAAAATTCTTTTCTTTTTTTTTGAATCTCTTTAAAATGAAAAATTATTTAAAAAATTCTTGAAAACGTAGTTTGACTATATTTACGGCTGTTCATATAACGTGTAAAATGGTCGTGGTTTATCAAGATTAATTTTCCTGGGAAATTTCCCTCCCTATTACCATCAATGTTTAAACAGAATTTTTGTTTTTTGTTAATTTGAAGTGTTTCGCGAAATTTGATTTGAGTGAATCAAAATCTGTTTGTTTTGTTTTGCTATCACACCACAAACAAGCAAAACAGAAACAAAACAAAAAAAACAGTTAACGTAGGAAATCAACAAACAGAGTGTGACGTCAATCAGACAGCAAAAATTCTTTGTTAAAAAAAAAAACAAAACTTTGTTGACAAACATCAACGAAAATGATAATGGCAATGTGAATAAAAAACATACAAGCCATAAAGCAAACAAACAAACAAACAAACAAACAAACAATGATGATACCTATAACACATGTAATTTTTGATCTTGATGGTACATTAATCGATTCGGAAAAACATCTTTTTCAATCAACCAATGATGTTTTGAATGAATTTGGTAAAACATTTGATTGGAATATACGTTCGAAAACTCTTGGTTTACATTTGCAAAAATCTGCACCAATCATCATTGAACATTTTAATCTATCAATCGAACCAATTGATTATATTGATAAAGTATTATTACGTTTTAAATCCTATGTACAAGGTGATAATGGTGGTTATGGTATACAATTATTACCCGGTGTTAAACGACTAGTCACGCATTTATCCCGACATAATATACCGATGGCTATTTGTACTGGTTGTAAAGAAGATACATTTCGTTATAAAGTTCGTTTACCAAAGAAACATTCGAATAATTTTATCATTTTCGTTTCTTTCCCCCCTCTCTTTCTCCCCATAGACACAACCATTTGGTGATTTTTTTCGTTCGGGAAATTTATTTCATCATTTTGTAATTGCTGGTTCTGATCCTGAAATTGGTGAACAAAATAAACCAAATCCATTACCATATTTAATTTGTATTGAACGTTTTAACGAAAATGGCCATCGTATTAATCCAAAACAAGTTTTAGCATTTGAAGATTCACCAACTGGTTTACAATCAGCAATCGATGCTGGTTGTCAAACAATTTTTATACCGGATCCAAAATTAGATTTAAATAGTTTACCAGTGCAACCATCGATCATTTTAAAATCAATGGAACATTTTCAACCAGAAAAATTTGGTCTGCCACCATTCAATGAATGAATTTATTCTAGTCACATGACAATCGTTATAAACAAAGTTTTAAAAAAATATGAAATAAAATCACATAACACTTCACCACCCTAATTCACTTGACTTGAATATTTAAAATTTTTATATCATCATATGGTTTATCGGTTTTTGGATTTGTTCGTACCTGGCTAATAGCTTGTATTACTTCCATACCTTTTGTTACACGACCAAATACAGTATGTTTACCATCCAACCATGGTGTTGCAATAACTGTTATAAAAAATTGTGATCCATTTGTATTTGGTCCAGCATTTGCCATTGATAATGTAAATGGTTTATCATGTTTTAAATGTGAAACAATTTCATCGGAAAATTCTCGACCCCAAATCGATGTACCACCAGTACCGGTACCGGTTGGATCACCTGTTTGTATCATAAATTGTCGTATAACACGATGAAATATATGATTATTATAATAACCATTACGGCTATGTGTAACGAAATTTTCCACCGTTTTTGGACAATCTTTTGCAAATAATTTCACTTGTATATCACCCATTGTTGTATGAATGATAACATTTTCGGATAATTTTTGTGAACCACTCGATTCGGAACTAGTTGCTGCAATCATATCTTCTCTGGATGGTTTTTCATTAAATACATCACGTTCTAATCCAGTTAGTACACTATCTTCGGATGAATTTATAGCCGAATCATCTGGTTCACGTTTTGTAAACATATAAAAACGATTTTTACGAAAACCAGTTGAAAATATTGTCGGATCTGAATGTGATGATTGTTCTAATGTTGGATTATTAGCGGTTATCATTTCGGGTGTCAAAATAGATTTAGTTGTTTTTAAATCGGCAATCTGTTGATGTAGACCCAGCGATAATGGACGAAAATTCTCTCCTTTACCAATCATTTTGACCAATTTATTCGTATACCAATTAAGAATTTTAATTCCAAGCATAGTAGGATAGATAATATAATAACCAGAATCATCAAAACAAATTTTTTCCATACGAAATGATTCGGATTTTTCTAAATCACGTTCAATAGCCATACGACGACCAAATTCCATATTAGGTAATTGTGGTTGATTTTGTTGCAATAATGTAATGGATTGTAGACTTTCATCATAAACACGTATCATTTTACCGGTAAGGAAACGAAATAGACGTATTTTTCTATCAGAACATATCATAACCATATTTTGTCCATCCAATGAAAATGATATATCATGTGGTATTTGTTTACAACGTGCTAATACATATAAATCTGTATCCATTTTACTTTCAAATTTTACCGATTGCGATGGAAAACGATAATCATTACGATGTGTACTCCAATAATCTAGCATTCCATTTTGATCAACCGATACCATTGTTGAATACGATGGGTTAAAACGCATCCGAACTACTGGACTTATATGAATACGATCTAATATTTGTAATGGTTGATTTGTTGTACTTGTTGCTTCGAATGTATAGATTTGATTTGATTCTGAATCGGATACGGCTATTACTGGAAACGGGTCATGTACACCACTGGTTGACATTGTTGTATAACACCATTCAACACAACCAGGTTTAAATTCCAATTTATTCATATTGATCATATCAAAATTAATAATATCGAAAATTTTCAATGATCGATCATCCGAAATGGTTGCTAATAATGATCCTAATGGATTATTAATACTCATATCAACAATTGTACCAAGATGTGCACGAAAATGTTTAACAAATTCAATACCGATTGCTTTCTTTTTCCAAAATTTTATATGTCCATCAATACTTGCTGTAATAATAAAATGAGTATTACGGGCAACCAAAACAAATTTTATTGTATCACGATGCATATAACTACGTTCATATGCATCACTTTGTGGTAGATTATCCAGATAAATTTTTTCGAATGGAATTATTTTACGTTTTTTATTCGGTTGTGATGATTGTTCTGGGTCTGTAACAGAAAATGAAATTAAAGTTTTTGGTTAATTTCGTTCAAAAAACTCACCTAAATCTTGTTCATTTTCCTCTTGATCCTCACCATCATCATGCGGATCATCGTCGGCGATTTTTCGCTTGGAATTCGGATCATTCGTTTCGGATTTAGGAGATGATGATCCATCATTTGAATCACCATCATCCCTACCACCACCACCATCATTATCAATATCTTTTTCCGAATTATTTTCGTTGGCTGACATGATGATGATAATAAAAAATACACCGCGCTTTCTTCAAACAAACAATTTTCATCCAAAAAAAATTGGCAAAGAATAGAATCCCGAATACACTCCACAAAGTATCATTATGTAGAAATAGACGAATCGAATGTATTATTATTCTCAACCGATTTGTGGAATATCATCTTCTTTTCATTTCTTTTCTGTCAAAATTTTTTTTTCTGATTGACTTAAATTGATTTAAATTATTCAGAAAAGCCTAGAAATAAAGAATAATTGCTGTTGTTTGTTTTTTTATGTAAATATAAACAACAACAACAACAATAAAATGATTGACATGATTGTTGTTGTTGTTGAAACACGCCTATATTCATTCAATGAATGAATGAATGAATGAATCCTGGTTAGTTGGTGATCCTGCATGTAATCACTCATTCATGTCCATTGTCAAACGAACAAACACAACGCACAGTTCAACAATGCATAACCACCACCACAATTGAATCCCAAAAAACCTTTTTTTCATAATCAAAAAATATTTTTGTGACTTCCTATTTTGGTTAATGTTTTCTGTTGCTTTTTTTACGACAAAGTGATATCATTTGTGTTTTTTGTGTTTATGGTTTGTGTATCTCTCTCCCTCTCTTTGACAACACTTCCAAAGATCATCATCAGGATGATAATGATGAGCGACAAACAACCAAAAAAAAAAAAAATATTAACAGTGTAGATTTTTGAAAAATTAGTTTTACTTAATCATTCATTCATTCATTTAGTTTATAAACAATGTCAATGACAGGCCGTAGAGCTTTTGCCAGTAAAATAATCAAGTAAGATTTGATTGAATATTGATGATGATTCGTAAATCTGAAATTAATTTTCTTTTCTTTTGTTTTGGAAAAAATCGAAGAGATAGCAATGTCGATATTCGTCATAGACTGGCCAAAATTTTAGCATCAGCTTCAACAACAGCATCGATTATAACGAATAATAACAACAACAACAACAATAATAATAATAATAATAACAACAGTGATGATTGTTTTGGTGAGGATAAAACCACCATGATGACAACCATACTTTGTCATCAAAATGCCATCGGTGATGAAAATTTAACAATCAATAATGTTAATCTTGGTAATAGTTTATATTGTGAAACATCAATCATTGATCTAGTTGATCCAATTGATGATTATGAAGATTATATTGCGAAACATTCGAATCGTATTGAACAGAATTTACGTTCAGTATTATTATTTCCATTTGATGATATTATGGTTGAAAAATATCAACCACCATTACGTACATTAGAACCAGAATCATTACCAGAATTTCATAATCTACGTATTTCGGAAGATCCTTATATACAATGTATTGGTGCCTGTAATCTTAAATCATTGATTGTAATTAAACAATATGAAAAAAATATTGAATATTTAAAATTAGAACAAAAAGAACGTTTTAAACAATTAAAACATCAAGAATATGAAATAGATTCAAAATGTTCTATACGAACAAAAAATGAATCATTATCAGTAATTGAATCACCAACACCAAATACAATATATTCATTGGAAACATCAACAAAAAATACACCACGTCCACAATCATTGATTTCATCTACATCCACCGTACGACCACCATTAGCATCGGATGAAGAAGATTTTACTACCGATGATGATAATAATAATAATGATAATGATGGCGATGGTGATGAAGATCGTGGCTGTCGTACACCATTAGCTGTAGAATTGATTAATCAATCTGTTTGTGATAATATTTCCCTTAATCAAAATCGTAATAGCTGGACATTTATCGATGGTGATGATCAACAACAACAACAAACATCTAATAATAAAAACGATAAAAAACAACAGCTGTTTTTTATCAAAAATCCTACAACAAACACCAATGATGATCATATTGATAATATTTTGGAAAAAAATTATGATGAATATTTTACTGAACTTAATATAAATTATGACCTTACCGAACAGGATGATGACAATAACAGCAACAACAACAACAACAACAATGCACTTCCTTTATTTTGTCTATATCGATTACAACAACAAAAACAATCAGACGATGAATCAACAATGGTCATTGAACAGCGACCATCAATATCACCACCATCCGATGTACCACGTTATCGATTTCTATTGAAATGTCTTTCACTTGAAATGGATCTTTCAATTGAACCATTATTTGCATCAATAGCAATTTATGATTCAAAATTAAAGAAAAAAATAACTGAAAATTTTTATTTTGATTTGAATACTGAATCAATGAAACATATGTTACAATCGCATATATCATTTCAAGATTTATCAACATTATCTAAATCGGCTATATTCAATCTAAGTCATTTAAGTCCAGATATGTATTTTGTTATAAAATTAGAGAAAATATTTCAAAGTGATATAAATGATTTGATTGAATCATATCAACGACCACCCGATGATTCAAATAAAATGGATAGGCTGAAAAATTTGATAAAAAATAATTGTGAACGTTTAGGTCGTTATCGAATGTTTTTTGCTTGGGCAGTATTTCCTTTGGTAGATGTATTGGGAAATTGTTTGGCTACAACAACAACACCGACTATAACGGAAAAAGATTGTGAAACATCATTAAATTGTAATCGTAATAGTTCAAATAGTTTGGATAGTTTAAAACGTATTGCAAATGAATGTACATCAACTTTCGTTAGGAAAGGTTCACTTGAAAGACATTTAACAATGACAAGTAAAGATTATTCTGCTATTTCAAATCATTCATCATCAACGGATATAATTACATCATCATCATCATATGATCTATGTCAAGCATATAATAAATTTAAACCGGTAACAATAACAAGTAAAATATTTTATCGTCATGAATCGGAAAAATTTAGTGATGAAGATTTGTATAAATTTTTACAAGAATTTGGACGTTCAACACATAATTCAAAACGTGTTCGATATATACCGAGTACATTTAAATTGGATATAAGTCCTGTACGTGATGAAAATCAAATTAAATGTCGTGTAAATCCAGAATTGATTCGTCTTCATCCATATCAACCGAATGATCGTATTAGTCCGATTAAAGAAATTCTTGAATTTCGTGACCTGTTAATACCGCATATTGAACATCGAAATCTTCTTTATGTTTATCCACGATCGGTTAATTTTACATCCCGACAAAATTCAGCAAGAAATGTTACGGTAAAAATACAGTTATTATCATCGGAAGAAAAATTCAGTGCCATGTCAGTGATTTTTGGTAAATCAAGTTGCCCGGAATATTTATCCGAATCATATACGGCAATCAATTATCATAATCGTAATCCAAATTTTTCCGAAGAATTTAAAATACGTTTACCATCACAGATGCAAAAACAAACACATTTATTGTTTACATTCATCCATGTTCATACTAAACCTAAAAATGATATACCAATTGATGAAATTGTTGGCTATACATGGCTGCCATTACTACAGGATGATTGTCTTCAAACCGGATCATTTTCTTTGCCTATCGTATCGGAAATGCCTACAGCCGGTTATTCATTTCTTAATCCAACTGATATGGATGCAATGACTAATCATAAATGGATTGATAATCGTAAACCATTGTTCATTGTTCATATTGATTCATATTCAAGTATATTTGCTCAAGATGTTTATGTAAATCGATTTTTTCGTATTACATCATCATTAGATGGTGGTCAGAATCAAAGTTTATTACATTCAGATAATTTTTATGAAGATTTTTGTCTTGCTATTAATGGTTTACAGAATTCAAATATCGATTCGTTAGTAAAATTTGTTCATATTATATTGAATCGATTGATTATGTTAATGGTTCGACCACCATTATCACTGTTTGATGAACAAAAGAATGACCAAAATATTTCAACGATATCCAAACAATTTAAAACATTGGTATTTGAAACATTAGTTTCAATTGTTGCTAAAATTAATTCAAAACTTTATTCGGATGATTATTCACAAATGCAAAGTGGAATTTTAGCTACATTTATTCATTATCAGGTAATTTTTCCACAACCAGAACCAACGAACAACAGTAACAATCATAATCATAATGTGAATGACTTGAATCATGAAAAAGATGAAACGTTAAGATCAACATTCCATGAAGAAATTGTCATACAATGGTTATCAAAAGAACATTCAAATGAATCGACAGTGGAGAATTTATACAAATATTCATTCTTCTTTTTTGATTCAATTTTTAAAAGTCTTTGTATAACTGTTTCGTTAACATCAAACTCAAAGATTGTACATCGTTTACCAATTGATCGATATTTGAAAAATAATCTAAATCGATTGATACATAGAATTGGTGATTATATAGTACGAGAAATTCGTAACAAACATTCAAATCATCAACAACCATCATCATGTGTGAATATTGTTAATCGTTCATTATCATTTTTTATTCGTGATCTTCTTTCAATTATTGATCGTCATTATGTATTTAGTTTAATGAAAATTTATTTAACTAAAATTAGTAATGCTTCAACAATAGTTTCGACATCGATCAACAATAACAACAACGGCAAACAAATGGATATGGATAGCCAAAAAAATGAACAAATAAAAATCAATGCAGAATTGTTTGAAATGAAAGTATCATTTTTACGAATAATTTGTGGTCATGAACATTTTGTTGCTTTGAATCTTCCATTTGGTACACCATTATTTGCTGCTTTAGAACAAAATTCCAACAATAACAACACCGGTAATACAAAATTTTCACCATCTTTTTCGCTGACCAAAGAAATGTTGGATAGTAATATATTTTCAAATTTAATATTTGATCGTATTCGTCCTTATTCGGAATTAACTGATGAATATCGACGTCAACATTGGCTTATTGGATTAGTATTTTGTGTTTTACTTGAATCATTTACAATGACCAAAGATTTACTGCAAAATCGTGCTGCACAATTAATACGTTCAATAATGAATGCATTTGATTGGGATGAACGATTTAATAATGATTATAATGTTAAACATCGTGCTGCTTGTTTATTTTTACCATTAATTGGTATTATGATTGATGTTATTGATTATTTACATGATGAAACAAAAAATAATTGTTTTTATTCACCAAGTGAAAGTCGTAAACGACGGAAACTTAATTCATCTAAAGGACAATTTCGTCATGATATGGATAGTTATGGATCATTGTTTATTGAAAATTCTATTGCAATGGCAATTGGATCATCATCATCATCAACAACAACAACTTCAAACAGTTGTTCATCATCTCCACCACACAAATTAATATCGCCTAGTACTTATCGTCAAACACTTTCATATCAACGAATCAATAAAGAAGCTACTGAAACATTATTGTTATGTTTGATATGGACCATTGGTAATGTTGATCATCGATTATTTATACAATATTTGAATGAATTTTCAAATGAACGTTTGTTAGCATTTATTGAATTACTTCGTATAACAATAAGAATTTTTGAATATCAAGGTGCTAAACATATACGGAAAAGTTCCAAACGAAGACAATCATTTCAAAAATTAGATGATGCAATTCGTAATGGACCTGCACGTAAAGAATGGATTCGTCGTCGTGAATCATCATCATCACAAAGTTTTGTATCAACAATGAATGATGGTTCAAGTAATGATCTAAGATTACGATGGAAACGTAACACCACTATTAATCGTTATCATTCAATTCATGATGATTCAAATAATGATTTGAATAATTTTGAAGATGAAATCATTATGGAAGGACATCTTTGTACGATGATCAATTTGATTGTATTGGATTCAATAACAATGATTGTGAATATTTTTCGACAACGTATTAAATGTATTTCTAGTTTTGTTCGTAATTCATCATCATCAACCAAAACAACAACAACAACGACAACATCAAGTTTATGTTTGAAAAATAAATACGGTAATGATGAATTTGTTGTTGCAAGTGCATTACATGCTTTGCTTCAAGTATTTTCATTACGCCAAAGTAGTCGTGTATTGAAAGCTGCATTCGACATACAACGTGCCATTCTACATCATTTTCCTGAATTACTTTTTATTGATGATTTACCGGATGGTGAATTTTGTTCCGAATTATGTTATTTATTATTGAAACATTGTGCATCACAAACATTAACTATTCGTACAAATGCATCGGCATCAATTTATCTGCTATTACGACAATATTATCAATCAAATGGTCATTATTCACGTATTAAAATTCAAATTACAATGTCATTAAGTCAATTGGTTGGTACAAGTCTTACGTTCAATGAAATTAATATCCGTAATGCATTGAATAATATTTTATTATATGCATTGAATGATGATAGTGTACGTGAAACACAATTTCCAAATCAAATACGAGAATTAGTTTATAATCTTATTATGATATTATCGGATACAATGCAAATGAAAGAACATGAAAAAGATCCATTAATGTTACTTGATTTAATGTATCGTGTAGCAAAAGGTTATCAAAATTCACCAGAATTACGAATTACATGGCTTGAAAATATGGCCCGAAAACATTTAGAATTATCACAAAAAGTTGAAGCTGCACAATGTTTAGTTCATGCATCAGCATTAGTTTCTGAATGTTTACATAAAATGTCACGTAGAAATTATCTACCGGTTTCATGTGCTGCATTTCAACGTGTTTGTCCAAATGTTTTTGAAGAAAGTCTTCATTCCAATTCAGATATTAATATTGATAAAATGAATTATTTTAAAGAAGATATTGATGATACGAAAAAAGGAATACAATCAGCAAAATTAAATGAATCCGGTTTGATTGCATTGTTGGAACATGCAGCCGAACATTTTGATGTTAGTGGAATGTATGAAGGTGTGAATGAAATTTATAAATTACTATTACCAATACATGAAACTCATTATAATTATAAAGAATTATCGCGGATACATGATCGATTGCATAAGGTTTTTATTAAAATCGAACAACAAGAAGGAAAACGTGTGTTTGCCACTTATTTTCGTGTTGGATTCTATGGAAAATTGTTCAATGATCTTAATCAAAAAGAATTCGTTTACAAAGAACCTTTTCTAACTAAATTACATGAAATTGCTAATCGTTTGGAAACATTTTATGGTAAATGTTTTGGTGCAAAAAATGTCGAAGTGATTAAAGATTCGAATAATGTAGACATTTCGAAATTGGATCCAAATAAAGGTAAATGAAAAAATTTTTTCTTTTTGACTTTGAAAATTTAATGAATTTTTTTTTACAATTTCAAAAAAAAAACAAACAGCATACATCCAGATTACTTATGTGGAACCATATTTTGATTCATGGGAATTGGAATCACGTAAAACTTGTTATGAACGAAATTATAATATCAGTAATTGTGTTTTGCTCTTTGGCAAAGATTAGTTTTTATTCAATTGATTTTTCTTTTTCTTTTTTTTTCCTGATAGAACGATTCATTTATTCTACTCCGTTTACGATGGATGGTCGAGCACATGGTCAACTTTATGAACAATATAAAAGAAAAACAATACTTTCGGTTGAACATGCATTTCCATATGTAAAGACAAGAATTTTGGTAAAAAATCGACAACAACATTCATTATTACCGATCGAAGTGGCCATTGAAGATTTACAGAAAAAAACCGGTGAATTAGCAATGGCAGCCAATCAAGAACCAGTTGATGCTAAAATCTTACAAATGGTACTGCAAGGTTGTGTAGGTACTACTGTTAATCAAGGTCCGGCTGAAATTGCTTTTGTTTTTCTAAGTGATGAACCAAATATTCCTGCCGGTTATCAACGTCCAACTTTACCATTAAAAGATAGTTTACGAGTTGCATTTAAAGAATTTTGTGCCAAGTAAGTTTTTTGTTCTGACTTGATTTTTGACTCGTGAATATCACTGATATGTAAATTTTTTTTTTTCACCCCCATTACCATAGATGTGGTGAAGCTTTGGCAAAAAATCGTCAACTTATCAACGGTAATGAACAACAAATTGAATATCATAAAGAATTGGAAAGAAATTTTTGTCGTTTAACCGAAAAATTGGCACCATTGATGGGTATGGCCAATGTAAAACATTCACAAGCACTTTTGCAGGATAGTTATTTTGGTCCAGGATTTTCGATAACATCCCGAAGTAATAATAACAGTCCATTGAAAGGAATGAATGGTTTTGAACGTCTATCTCGAATCTGATCTCAACACACACACACACTATTTCGACATTGGGTCACATTTTTCTAGTCAAAAAAAATTTTTTTTTTACTTATTATTTTTTTCTTTTCTAAAAAAAAATCATTTTTTCTTTTTTGATATGATAAATAAAATTATCACAGTGAACAAATACAATGAGCAGTAATATATATTATAAGTCTAATTAGATTCGGGTAATAATTTTGCGGCATTTATACCGCGAATAGTAACTTTTTTTGGTGGGGCAAATAAGCCATGATTGGTCCTATCAAAAAAAAACAAGAGAAAAGGATTACAATCGATTAATGAAAACAAAAAAAGGAAAAGATATTTACTTGCAAGTAAAATAACGTTTTCCATCAATCGAACCATCATTTTTGCCATTAGGTGTTCGTAATTCGATACCAAGAAAAATACCTTCGGCAAAATGAACCGATCCAATATAACGAATCGATCCAACCATACTGTTGACAAGAACATTGACACCGATTCGAAGCCATGAATCTTGTTGTTGTTGTTGTTGTGGATCAAGCAGTTTATTTCTATCTTCTTTATTAATCGAATGTCTTGTTGTTGTTGTTGTATTGGAAATGTTTCGACATAAACTCATTGAACGTCTAATTGTTGATTTTCGTATCTTATCATTGGATAATAATTTATTTTCAGTATTTTTTAGCTGAGTAAATTGAAGTAGATCAAGTGATGAGGTACCACTAAAATTAGGACTAATATCCGAATCTTCTGATTCGGATATATCATGTGGTGAACAAATATGTGATGGAGAATTTTTACTATTCGAACTTGACATTACTCTGGCAATTCGTGCGAATGAAACAAAAATACCAAAACGTTGTTTGCAAGTAAAATAACGAACACCTTGTACTGAGCCATCATTTTTACCAATTGGTCGAGTTAATTCGATACCATACCAAATGCCGGGTGCAAATTTTGTTGGTCCCATAAATCGAACAATGCCGGTTTTTTTATCAGTAAGATAAACTTTACTACCGATAAATACATCTTCCGAATTGATCGATGATCGTGAAGAAGATAATAGATTAACATCACTATGACGAGAAATTGTATTAAGTCCTGTATCAATTTTTGAATGTACATTCAATGGATTATAACTCAGACTATAATGATGTTGACCATTTGATTGTTTGCCATGTTGTTTCGAATCAAAACTATGATTCATCATCATCATCAGATCACAATCATCGGTATCCAATTTTGATATGCGATTAATCGGTGCAAAAATACCGTATTGTGGTGGACAAACAAAATATCGTACACCATCAATACTGCCATCATTTTTACCGATAGGTTCATCCAATTCAATACCTGTCCAGATTCCCGTAGCAAATTGTGTTGGTCCTGAATTTCAATTGTGATTAATTTGTAAAACAAAACAAAAAATAAAATCGATAATTCACACATACCACAATAACGAAGAGTACCAATTTTAGCATTACCAACAATGATTCTATCACCGATTTCTAATCCCAAAGCCGATAGAACAACTTTAGCGGTTTTCATACATTCAGCATCGGTTGAATTAGATTCACCTGAAATGATTAAAGTTGCCTCTTCCAGAATGGATCTTAATTCCAATGAAATATCTGGTTGTTGCATTTCGAACCAGGAAAAACTTGGATCCGATTCGGTGGGAACACAATCTAATGGAGTACGCATTCGATCATCTTTGAGCAAGATATTTGCACCTGACGATAGCAGAATACGAGCAGATCGCAAACAAAGATTTGTTGCAGCTATATGCAATGGTGTTTGTGAATCTGAATATCGACTTGGATAATCGATAATCGATGGTTTGACCACTGTTACCAGATAACCAACAACCGGTGCAACATCAAAATAGGTAGCAATGTGTAAAGCACTCATATCATTCCATTTGCAAATCAAATTTGGATTTGCCTGATATTTTTCGATCAATGCAACAACCAGATTTAGACTTTTGTCCTCATCACCAATGCCAATGGCGCCTGATTTGCATGCAAAATGCAATAATGTCCTATAGGATGATGATGAATCGAAATAAATTCAAGTTATAAATGAAAAAGAAAAGAAAATCAATTATTTACATATCGGTCAATTCATCACGATCATCAGCATGTGCTCCTTTTTCCAGCATTCGATTGATTAACAAATCCATATTGGTTTGAATATCTGGATGCCATTGTCGAGCAATGGCCATCAATTGTGATATGGTAGTTTTTTCATCCTGAAATCTATCAAAACATTGTTGACAATTTAAATTGAAAAATTCATCACCTTGCCAACAATTTTCACAATATGGTGCATCATCGATTGGATGAACAATTTTCGTTGATGATATTGTATTGCCATTTTTATCGGCAATAAAATTCATTTGGAATGAAATTTAAAAAAAAATCAAAAAATGGAATGGTTAAAAACAAATTTTTTTCTTTTAAAATCTTTGAAATATTGAGCAACAGTTTGCCTGAATTTAACGAATCTTTTTCTTTTTGGAATCGATCGATACTATCGATATTAGTGTGAATATATCACTTTCGAATTTTGAAATAAAATTCTTCGATTCCAAAAAGGAATTTCATTTTTTGTTTTTCCGTTTTTTTTCGCCTTTTGAAATTCAAAAGTTAATTCTGTTGGCGCCTTTGAGATTTGTGTGTGTGTGTGTGTTAGAATCTAATATATAGCCAGAAAGAATCCAATTGAATGACGCATGATTCCTGCATTCTTTGTTGATGATATATAGTGGACAAGAAGAATTTCCAACAAAAACAACAACAAAAAAACAATTTGGCCATGGATCCATGGATGATAATCTTTTACTAATCATTTACTAATTATCGTATGCAATTAGTAAAAAAAACTTTGCTCCAATCGATTCATTATTTAGGGATTATTTATGTTTTTTTCGGCCAAAAGTCAAGTTGAAGTTAGAAGTTTCAAATTTTGGAATTCAATGGAAGCATCATCAAACATTCGAACATCATCATTCACTATATATGAAAAAAAGCGGATGATTTCAACGCGGAATGCCTATGCATAGAACATTACCCAAAACCAAAACCAAAAAAAAAAACTTTGTAAAATCCCTGATCGACCAGATTTTCGCGGAACTAAAAAGCAAAAGTAACGGCATCCACAGAGAGTGCAAAAGAGATTGGATGGGATGTTGTTGTTAAAAAAAACATCTCGATTCATTATTCGTTTTGGGAGAAAAAAAAAATCAAACTTTTTTTTTCTGTGTTCCAAAAACCGAATCAATCAAAAGTTAGCGAATGAATGAGCTCTCACTGACTCTCTCTCTCTCTCTCTCTCTCTCTCTCTCTCTCTCTCTCTATGGACCAAGTCTCTGGATCAGTTGGATAACCGTGTTCAACTGTGTTCGTTGTGTGCTAACGGAGTGTTAGTAATGAGAAAAGAGAGGAAGAATTTCTAAACCCGAATGAACAGTTATGAGGGTGGTTCGTTGTTCGTTTCGTTTCATTTCATTCCATTCATTTTGTTTATTGTCGAATTAAGAGGAATTATCGATGAACACGCAAAAAATAAAAATATGAAACGTTTGGTTGATGGGCAGATGGTTCGAATTGTGAATGTTTTGTTTTGTTTTGTTTTTTGTCAAATCGAATGAATTTCGGATTTTGTCGAAATTTTGTTTTTTTGATTGTCAAATTTTGAAGTGAAGTGAACATGTAAGGAATGTGTTTTTGTGCGTAAAAATGTTTGTTCAATAAATTAGCCAACGAAGAAGACGACGATTACGTGCATTGAATACGGAAATAATGCAGCAGGATTTTCTTTTCTTCTTTTTTTTTCATCGATTGTTCCCGATATGAAATCCCGATACATCTTCGATAGTGAATCGTTTGTTTGTTGTTGTTGATTTTTTTTCAGAATGATTTTCTTAAAATCCATTCGTACTGTCATTCAGCTGTTTATTTTTGCTTCATCGTTATTATTTCCATTATCGCTGATTAGCAATGTATTCAGTGAAGAATGTAAGTTTGTGTTCGCCTGATTGATTGATTGCCTCATTGCGGATTAACTCGATTTTTGCTTACATTTTTCCCACTCACTTTCCCCCACCTTTTCCCGCCCCCACAACCATAGTGCCCAACATTGAATTTGGTCCAAAATCAATAACGGTAGTTGCCGGTGAAAATGTAACATTATCATGTGGTACATTACCGAATAATGATTCACAATTAACAATAAATTGGCAACGTAATGGTCAATCAATACCATTATCACGTCATCGACAAACATTATTACATATACCGGATAATGGATCAATATCAAGTCTTCACATTGATTATGTTAGTGAATTGGATGAAGGTGTTTATCAATGTACTGCTCGTAATGAATTAGGACTTGATGTTTCACGACCAGCACGGCTTTCGGTTCAATGTAAGTTGTTGTTGTTGTTGATGATTGATTTGATTTGATGATGATAATGCTGATCTATTCAAATTCAAATTTGGATAAAGATGGCGCCAAAATAACCGGTGGTCAACGTTTTGTTTATAATGTTACGAAAGGAACAAATGTTCCTATTGAATGTAATGCACGAGGACAACCAGCACCTAAAATTGAATTATTCATCGATAATCGATCGGTTAGTATTCACTTCACTTTACTTAAAACCGAATTTAACTGATTTTTTTCCCTTGTTACTTAGCTAATCGATGGTGAACATTATTCAAATGTTTTCATTCAATTCAATGCAACCAACACTACGAATATTACTTGTAAAGCAACAAATTTTCTTACATCAATCAATCAAACAGTTGAAGATGTTCGAATATATGAAATTTATGTACAAGAAATTCAAGGTAAGTTGATCAAAATGATATAATCAGTAAACGAAAGTAACATTGATTTATTCCGGCAAAAAACAAAGAACCAACCGAACAATTAGAATCAATCGAATTGGAAGAAGAAGAAAAAAAACGAATCAATACATTGCCTGATGGCTATTGTGCACCATATATGGGACAGATATGTCGTGAACATGTACCACGTAATTCATTAGTTTTTTATAATGTTAGCGATATTGATGATTTTGCACATAATATTAATGAAGAAATTGTTAAAAATTTATGGAAAGAATTAATACAATCATTACAGGAACCATGTAAAAATGCAGCTGAAAAATTACTTTGTCATTATGCATTTCCACAATGTTCATGGTCGAAAAGATTTCCAATGGGTAAACCATTATGTCAAGAAGATTGTATAGCGATACGTGAATCATTTTGTAATCGTGAATGGGCATTGCTTGAAGATAATCGTCAACGTGGTGTTTATTTTAAATCACGTGGTCATTTTCGTTTGCCCATTTGTGAACAATTACCATCACATGCTAATCAAACAAATCCGGAACAATGTTCACATGCTGAATTGACTACATTTCGTTCGGATAAAGCAACTATCGATTGTATTGAAGGTCGTGGTCGTTTTTATCAAGGAACTGTAAATATAACCAAACATGGTCTGCCATGTCAACGATGGGATTCACAAACACCACATGCACATAATCGACCACCATTTGTATTTGAAGAGATTTGGAATTCGGAAAATTATTGTCGTAATGCTGGTGGTGAAGAACCATTACCATGGTGTTATACAGCCGATCCATATGTTCGTTGGCAACATTGTGACATTACACCTTGTGAACGAAACAATACAAATAATAATGATGATTATCATGGTGATGGTTCAACAATAATTACCATCAATAATTCAAATTTATCATTTCGAACATTTGCATCTTATCTAATGGATTGGATTCGTCGACCATTAAGCAGTGTATTACATGTTCAACATCCATTATTATTACCATTAAGTATTGGATTGGTCATAATGTTTATCGTAATTGTTACATCGATCATTACGTTAATGATTCGTCGAATTCGTTATCGAATGAATTTGTATGCATCAACTATGACAGCAATCGAAGGATCTTTACCTACCGATTTAGATCTTTCAAAATTACCATCCAATAATACTTATCATTGTACATCAGCTATATTGAATCCAAAACTTGAACCACTGGAATATCCACGTAATAAAATCATTTATATTCGTGATATTGGTTGTGGTGCATTTGGTCGGGTATTTCTAGCCAAAGCACCTGGATTATTAGCCGATGAGGAAACAACTTCGGTTGCTGTAAAAGTATTACGTCAAGAAGCCAGTATTGATATGCAATCAGATTTTGAACGTGAAGCAATACTTATGTCTGAATTTGATCATCCAAATGTTGTTCGATTATTAGGTGTTTGTGCACTTGGTAAACCAATGTGTCTACTGGTTGAATATATGGCATATGGTGATCTTGCTTCATTTCTACGAACATTAGGTCCAGCAAACTATGTAATACGTCATCCAAATCAAGAAGCATTTGTTGATCTGCCGAAAAAAATGACCACCGAAGAATTGATAAAAGTAGCCAAACAAATTTCATCCGGTATGGTATATTTATCCAGCAAACATTTCGTACATAGAGATCTGGCTACACGTAATTGTCTAGTCAATGATAAATTGGTGGTAAAAATTTCTGACTTTGGTCTTTCACAACGAATGAAAGCAGCTAATTATTATCGTGCTGATATTGCTAACGATGCATTACCAATACGTTGGATGCCATTAGAAGCAATATTATATGGTCGATTTACAACTGCAAGCGATGTTTGGTCATTCGGTGTATTATTATGGGAAATATTCTCTTATGCATTACAACCATATTATGGCCTTACACATGAACAAGTGATTTGTTATCTAAAAGAAGGTAATCTATTAACAAAACCAGAATCATGTCCCGATCAAATATATGATCTAATGAAAACATGTTGGCAATCGGAACCATCAACCAGGCCATCATTCGAATCATTAGAATTTTCATTGAAAGATTTTTGTCTTCCTTCTTCTTCAATTTCGATTTCCGAAAATGTTTTGACCGATTGAATTTAGCTCAAACATTTCATTCACACTCAGTCACTACACACACACACACACATACCACACTTGATTATTATCATCGTATTTATTGATTATGATCATATCTTTTTTTTGCCAAAGAAATTAAAAAAAAAATAAAAATGTTTCAAAAAAAATTATCAACATTTTTTTCTTTTCTTACTCAATAGATGGTGTTCCAAAATGGTAACATCATTTATGAATGTCATTTCGAATGTTTGGTTTTTATAAAAAAAACTTGCGCGTTTTCTTTTCTTTTTGTTTGCCACTACCACCGATATACATGCATTGTTTATTTGATAAAATGTCGAAACCAAAAAAAAAAAAAATGCTTGTTTGTTTAACTGAAATTTTTTCTTTTTTCGATTGTTTTGGTTTTGAATTTTTCAATTTCAAAAAATAAAAAAAAATTGATTCTATTTTTTTTCGTTTGATTTATTTTCATCAAATTTTGCTGCATTTTGTTAACTTTTTTCTCTGAATTCTCTTTGTTTACGGAATTTGTTTTCTTGTCACCAAATATATAGCTCATGTGTAAGATTCTATTGACAGAATGGCTGATTCGAATATTGAATCATTAAATGATGTTGATATTGTAGCCGTACCTTTTACTACACATTTAGATGATGATTTTGATGGTAAGTATAATCATTTATGGTTATAATCATAATTGTTAATCTTGAAATATATAGCTGTCAATTTGAACGAACCATTCATGACCAATTGGAAAGAAACAGTTGATGATGATGATCATGATCTATTATATACATCGGCTCCACAAGTTTTAATCGATTCACCACCATTGTTATCAAATGATAATAATGATAATAATAATAATGTTGATCACGAAGATGATAATGATAATAATGATGATAATGATGATGAAGACGATGATGGTGGTGATGATGATGATGATGATACAAATCATTCACAAGAATTATCAAATCCACAAAGATCATCTTCAATTAATCCAAGCAGAAAATGGCAACCTAAACAAGTACAAATCAAAACATTGGAAGGCGAATTTAGCGTTACAATGTGGTCTCATGGTACGTTTTTTACAGTAATCGAAACAGACAACATCTAATGATTTTTTTCTTTTCCTGACCATCTCTGTATACAGATGATATGCCAGCCATAAATTTTATGGAAGATTTTCCAACCGATAACAACAATGTTTCGATCGAAGATATTCTACCTTCTGGATTCTATAAAAATTGTCCTCAACCAATCGATGATAATTGTCCAACAATTATGTATGTTGTATCATATTTTTCCAAAGATGAATGGATTGATTAATTTGTTTTGTTCATTGTTCCAGTGTAAAGAATACCAATTCGAATCAAGTTTCATCGAATAGAAAATTATTGGGCGAACATGAACTACGTACGATAGCATGTCCACATAGAGGTTGTATGAAAATGTTTCGTGATAATAGTGCTATGCGAAAACATCTTCATACACATGGTCCACGAGTACATGTTTGTGCTGAATGTGGAAAATCATTTGTCGAATCAAGTAAACTAAAACGTCATCAATTAGTGCATACGGGCGAAAAACCATTTCAGGTATAGAATATTCTATATTCAAATTTGATAATAATGATTGTTGAAAAACAGTGTACATTCGATGGATGTGGTAAACGATTTTCATTGGATTTCAATCTTCGTACTCATGTTAGAATTCATACAGGTAAATTTCTAATGATAATAAATGAATGAATGATAATGATGTATACCACTTTTTGTTGATAATAATAGGTGATCGTCCATATGTCTGTCCATTTGATGGTTGTCTGAAAAAATTTGCCCAATCAACTAATCTTAAATCACATATTTTAACGCACGCCAAATCGAAAAATTATTCCAATCCAACCACCACGAATAACTCGAATAATAAACCACCACCATTACAATGTTCGGTAAAGAAAATGATTACTGCAGTTGTGGATGTTGGTATGGAAGCTGCTGCTGCAGTTGCTGCAGCAGCAGCCGGTGCAAATAACAATGCCAATAATAATCATAATAATAATAATCATTCCATTCAAACGATTGGATCGGAACCACGTTTAATTATATCGGATGTAGTAAACGATGTGGTTCATCATACTATTCGATCATCATGATAATAATAATATATATGAATTGAATGGAGAGGGGAAAAATTTGTAAATATTTTGAAAAACATTTTATATTTTTGAAAAACAAAAAAACAAAAACATAACATTTAGTCATTATAGACACACACACAAGCAAAAGCATGAATTATTTTATATTTGTTTCCGTGAAACAAAATAAAAGCCATCAAAGTTATTCTTTTTTGTTGTTTAGTAATTTTTCAATTTTTGTACATGCTTTCCATTTGGAATTAGATTTACGAATCAAATCACCAGCATTTGTACAACGTTCGATCATTATTTTATCCAACAGAATTTGCTGTATCAATTGAATCAATTGATTCGATTCAAAACGATGTGGATTAATACGATAACCAAAACCTTTTTCCATAATACGTTGTGCATTATCATGTTGATCGGCAAACAATGGCATTACAATCATTGGTTTACCATAAGACATTGTTTCGGTAACAGTATTATTACCACCATGTGTAATAACTAAATCTACCAAAGGTAAAATTGACATTTGTGGTAGATATGATTGTCCATACATATTTTCGGAAAGCGATAATTGTTGATGTGATTGTCCAGTAGAAACAATTATTTGATGTGGACAGCCGGCCAATTCATTAAGAATTTTTTGCATCAATGTTACATTTGTACTACCAAATGTTCCCAGTGAAAAATAAATCAATTTAACTGTATCACTCAGTCGAGTTTTGATGTTTTCGGGTAATTCGAATGTTTTGTTATCATTGTCATCGGTGGTGGTGGTAGATTGTTGACGACAAAATCCATCCAAACGTACAACATTTTCCGGTAATGTAATAATATCCGTATAATCTAATTGTTCAGGATAACCATAAATATTGAAATGTGGTGATAAAAATAAAAATTGATTTTTGTTCACTTCAGGACATTGATAATGTTTGTTCAATTCATTTTGACAATATTGCAAACTGGATTGATATGTTTTACGAAATTTATCATAAAAATCTGCCCAACCAGAACGATTATCGGTTGGCAAACCCGATGTAATCGGTGGTAACAATTGTGAATTGAATAAATGTAGTGGATTATGACTGCAAAGATATGCCCATGGTATTTGACCATATGCAATACATGGTGGAATCAGAATATAATCAACAATCACCAGATCGGGTTTTTGTTCACTTAACGATTGTTGGATTTGTTCATGAATTTTCCGAATATCATTGATTATTGCAAAACCAAAAAAATTCTTATTCTTATGACGATCAAAAACATCCAATTGATCATATGGTGATAAATCAGCCAATAGGTTTGATTTGATAATCGTTTCACGTAATTTACCTTGATCATTATCATCTTTATTATCAGTCTTTACTTGCTTCTTATCAGTATCATCAACGACAGCATTTTCATGCAAGATAATTTCTTTGAAGCCAAGTTTTTCAAATTGACCAATATTGGATGGTTTATTGAAAAAATAAATTTCATGGCCACATTTAGCTAATTCTTGAGCCAAACCGACACATGCATTAATATGGCCAGCACCTTCGGATGAAAGAAAGATAATTTTCAATTGTTTATTTTTCTGTTCAGACATCGTTGGTTGTTTTTGCTGGTGAAACCAAATGAATGACTCAAACCATAGAAAAAAAATCATCTGGAGTTGATTATTTTGAAGTGTATTTTGGCGTTTACACTCCGAATTTTTTATTTTTTAAATAACGGAATTGATGCAAAACATCAATCAAAATTGATCCCAATAAAATAAAAAATTTATTTCTTTTTTATTTCTTTGTTTTTTTTGCAATGAAAAATATTCAATTAAAAAATAAAACAAAAATATAGAGCGGAGAGAATCAAAATTGATTTTGTTTGTTTTGAAAATCAAGATTCGCGAATGTCATTCGATTCGAGTCGTTTTTGCTTCGAAACAATCATAATCTTGTTTTTGTTTGTTTGTTTTTGTGGAAGAAAATAATAATAATAAAAATTTTTTTCAATTTTCTGGCTAGATAAATTATGAATATTTGATGTTTTTTTGACAATTTTTTTTTCATGCTAAATTTCTAACAATGTTTGAAAAAAACAAATCAAAGATGAATGAATGAATGAGAGAAGAAATTGCAACACGGATGAAATGATGATGATAATGATGAAAAATAAGCATTCGATGATAAAAAACAAGAATATATTCGCGTTTGAATGTTGGTTGGTTGGTTGATGATGAAAAAAAATTTTTTGGAAATTTTCTTGATTCTATATGTTGGTTTTTGTTGTTGATTCAATTGGATGATGAACGTTTGATGAATATAATGATTTTAACATTGACAATCTGAACGATTCCCACTACCATCTTGTCTACCACCATTTGCATTTGTTGTTGATGATGATGAAAGAACCGGGCTTGGTTTATGTTGTACACCAGATTCAGCTGCATTCAAATCCAATGAACCATCCTGGATATTTGAAAATATACGACGTGCAGTTTCAAGAAATGCTTCTTCAACACCATCACCAGTTTTTGCTGATGTTTCAATAAACATTAAACCATTTTCATCGGCAAATTGTTTAGCTTCTTCATATGTAACATCACGTTGTGAATCTAAATCCGATTTATTACCAATTAAAAATATAACCGTATTTGGATTGGTTAAATTTCGGGCATCAGTCAGCCATGAACTTAAATGATTATAAGTGGAACGTCTCCTTTAAGTTTTCAAAATGAAAAAAGTTAAGCTGATTTTTTGGATCTTGAAATCATCAAACTCAAAACATACGTAATATCATAGACCATAAGTGCACCGGCTGCACCACGATAATAACTACGTGTTACGGCACGAAATCTTTCCTGTTTTGTTAGCCAAAAAATCAATTAAAACGATTGAATCAATAAATCAACAACAACAGAACAATACCTGACCGGCTGTATCCCATATTTGTAGCTTAATTTTTTGTCCACCAACTTCAATAATACGTGTACCAAATTCAACACCGATTCTGTAATATGAATAACAACGAAAAAAAAATTCAGTAAAAAAAATGAAAATTTCATCAATTTTTTTCGCAGAAAAATCAAACTTACGTATGTGGACAATCAGCCATGACTGAATGATATTGTGAAAATGGAAAAAAAGTGAAAATTTGATCAAAATTCTGTTTCATTCATTACAAATCGATTTTCGATAACTTACATTTTTTATCAGTAAATTGATGAAGTAAACATGATTTTCCAACACCCATATCACCTATAATTATATATTTAAATATATAGGAATAATTATATGGACCAGATGCAGTCGACATTTTCTAATTTTTTTGTTTGTTTATGATTTTCACTTTGAACAAAAAAAAACCCCTCAAAACTTTATATTTTTATTTACACACAAGAATCTTCCTCGATAGAAATTTGAATATCGATGATGATGATTGAAAAATGTGCTCAAAACACATACACAAAACACACAAACACAAAAACAGAAATAATCAGGTTTCGATGTCAAATTGAATGAAAAAGATATTGGCCAAAAACAACGAAAAACACCTAATACACGTATGCAAAAACACACTGAATATTATTGTTATTGTTGATATATATAGAGTGTGTATGGCTATTTGATTTTCAAGAGTAAAAATTGTTGTTTGTTTGTTGTTGTTTGAATTTTTCACCTATATAATGATGATGAGGAAAAGTAGAAAACTTATTAATAATGATAATGGGATATAATATGAAATATTTAAAAACAAAAAAAAAACATGAATTTCATTAAACAAAGACGAAGTTCAGGTGGAAAAAAATTTTGGGAAAAACTCTTTCAGTAGAAAGAAAAAAAATACCTGGAAAATTTTTCGCTGTTCGTTTGATTGATGTTGCGTTTTTGTTTTTTTTTAATCAGGGGTGTATATATTTGTTGTTTTATCAACAACAAAATTGACAAACAGACGTCGATGGTGGTGTATGCACAGAAATTATCAAATAATGATGATTATGATGCTGTTTGATGTTTGATGAAACGCACTCTACAGTTGTTGTTGTTGTTGTTTGTTGTCGTTGCTATAGTCGTGATTTTTTTGTTTTGGTTTTGATTTTGGTATTCAATCAAAAATGGAAAAAAATTATTATCTAATTACGCTGATGATGACATTTGGAAGCAAAAGAAAAACCAAAAAAAATTAAAGGAAAATTTTTCAATAAACAAAAAATTAATTTTCAAAAAATACTGACCATCAAAATGATGATAACAGAGAATCATTCTGGTTTTTTTTTTGTTTTGTTTTGGCTCAACTTTATCGTTGTTGTTGTTGTTTTTGCAAAGATCTTCTTTACACATCTGATTTTTCTTGTATTCGATTGTTGTTTGTTGTTGTTGGAAAGTCTTTTTTTTCATCGAAATGGGGAATATAACAACGAATATGAAATGAATTCAAAGAGAGAGAGAGAAAGAAAGAAATATATTTACCACTACTACCATTTGAATGAATATGAAGGAAATATTTCTATATATTTTTTCCGAAACCAAACCAAAAATTTTATCATTTTTTTTTTCTTCGTAAATTCGAATAAAAAATGATAATGTTTTTTTTGTTCGTTTCGTTTTGGATTTCAATTCATTTCATGACTCATACAGTGTATGGATAATGTATCATTTCATTTTTGGTAAAACATCATTATCATCAAACCAAAAATCTCCCAAAAAACATAAACATCTGAAATCGAGAATGACGTTTTGTTTTTTCCCTTTATCAATGAGCAGATGATGTGAAACGAAAAAAAAACTTGTTTTTACATTCAAAATCGATCGATAGATGGCGTTATGAGATTCTTATTTTGAATAAAAAAAAATTCGTTCGATTTTTTTTTCATTTTGCAATTCAAGAATTCCAGAATCATCAAGATTTGAAAACAAAACAAAACAAAAAAAAACAAAAAAAAAAGAATTTATTCATTTTTAAAAACAAATAAAACATTGTAAAACAATAAAATAGAATGTAGAATATATGTTGATGATGATGATGATGTAAATGATAGGAATTGTTTTGTTTTTTAAATTTTCTTTCAAGAAAATTCTGTTTTTTTTATGATTCTGTTCTGAACAATTATATTGCACAAATGTTTGACATTTTACTTCTATCGTTTTTTTTTGTATAACAAGATATCAACTAAAATTGCACCATTGTAAAATTTGTAAATGTAAATGTGTTCTGTTTTTGTATCCAAAATGTTTAGATAAAGTTGTTTAAAGTATTTTTGTGGGTCACTTATGTCATCGTTTCATATCTTCTTGAACCACATTCATAACAAAATTTGGCCATTACATTTGGATATTTTGTACCACATTGATGACAAAATCTTGGTCTAATTTCATGATCAATAATTTGTTGTTTTTGTTGATGATGATGATTATCAATTAATATTGAATTATCATTCAATTCAATTTCATTTAAAGAACTATTACGTAATAATAAATGATTATTATTAATTGGTTCAATATCAGACATTGTTGGTGAATTAATCATATCGGCTCTAAATGTACGATTACTTGTTTTACTACCCGAACGATTTGATTGTTGTGATTTTAATCGATTAATATTATCACATTCATTAACTGTTTCTAATAATTGATTTGTACAACCATTCAAACCAAAACCACCAACAATAACACCTAATCCAGAATCTGTTGAATCTGATGTTGACATTCGGGCTTCATCACTATTTGCTGAATTTTGTCGAATTATTGAATCAGATTGCTGATGATGATCATGATTTGATAATTCTGTTATACGACCATTATTATGATGTGTTTGTAATGGCAATGGTGGTTGTTGACCTATCATCATATTACCAACCATATCATTATCACTGATTCTATTAACAAGACCATTATTATTGGCTGTTGACCATATTGGATTGTCATAGAGACGATTAATATATTGATCGATACGTTTTTTAATATCACCACCACCACCACCACCTTCTACCAACATTTGTTGTAGATTAGTTTCCGATCTTGATAAAATATTTCTGTTATTAAATAAATAAATAAATTGAATAAATAAACGAAATTGATTTTTATCTAAATGTAAACATAGGAATTAAAGCGAAAAAAGATGAATGAATCTTACCTATTATTATCATTATTATGATTATTTGTTTTATTTGTTGATTTTTTAACAGGTGAAATACCACCAATACGTACACCGGGTACTGTTTTAGGTGAATCATCATAAATAGCCATTGAATTTCTACGTAAAATATGTTCAATATCTTGAAATTGATCAATAATTGATTTGGCATGATTATTTAGATGATGATTTGGAAATTTTTCCTTAAATTTCATAATTGGTGCAGATTTTTCATGATTACGATTACGACTTGGATTACGATCTGGATTAATACCGGTATCAATTTTACTTGTTACTGTTAATTTTGTAACATGACCATTTATATTTCCTGTTGTTGTTTTTTTAATAAATTTTTGATTATTTTTACTGCTATTGTTCGGTGTATTCGTTGTTGTTGTGCGTCTTGATAACGAAGGTGATTTATTCGTATGAATTTTTGAATTATTCATCGTTGTTGTCGCAGTAGTTTTTGCCATTTTAACTGCAGCAGGTAAATTATCTGAACTTTTTGATATAATTCTTGTATTATTTCGTCGATGATGATTAATTGTTGATGAATTTTCATTGGTTTTTGTTGATTTCGATGGTTTATCTTTTGATTTCGAACGAATTGTTGTCGATGTCGATGTTACTGATGATGTTGATGATATTGTCGAACCGGTACTCGATAATGTTGTTATTGATTTTGATCTTGATAATAATGATTTACCATTATTATTTGTACTTGAAACATTCGGTTTATACTGAAAAACGAATAAAGAAACAAAAATTCATTAGAAAAAATTCAATTAAAACACCGAAACGCGGTTGGATATTGAAAACAACAACAAAAAAAAAATATCGATCCATTTTACCCCCATTGTAGCATGCATACAGAATGAATTTTTTTAGGGCAGAAAAATTTTCACCCAATCAATCCGCGATCGATCGAATCGATTATTATCGAAATCTATTTTGGCCATATCCGTTTTAATTGCTGTTGTTGTCGATCAAAAAGCGATTAGCAACAAAAACAACAAACAACAAAAACCAATTGGAGAAAAACAAAACAGAAAAACATTTCTCTATTCATAACTTAATCGATAACTAACGATAATGAATGATTTATTTATTTATATATGTTTGAAGTTCAAGGATGTCATAATTTTTTTCAAGTTTCATTTTCATTCTGACTTGTTTTAAATTTGAAAAAAAAATTCAAACATATTTTCCGGCAAACAAAAAACTAACGAATCGTTAATTTTTGGTAGGCCTGAATCGATAATATCGATTATTTTTAGTTTTTTCAACAAAAAAAATTGTCATTACTTTCTTATGATCTTCATACATTTTTTCTTCAAAAAAAAAGAAATTCAAAAACTTTGAAGTTCATGTTTATTCTGTTTCGCTTTTTTTTTCTTCTTCTTTTGCTTTCTTTCTTTCTTCAATGTCAAACACGCAAACAATTTAAAATTTCTTCCGAAATAGAACAGAAAAGAAGAAAAATTTTAAATTGTAAAATCGATTCCGAAAAAAAATGATGATGAACTTGACATTGGCATCAATTTCTACCTATCTATCATTCTTTCTCCAAAACAAAATAAATGAGGGAAAAAACAAATTACATAATTTCTGTTTTACCTTTGTCCGTGCTTTCATACGTTCTAATGCTTCTTGATTTTTTTGTAAATTTTGTTGTCGATCTTGTTGTTTACGTTTTGATTCAGCACACCATTCAATATGACGATCAGCAGCTTTGATTGAAAATCTTCGTTGACATGTTGGACATTCAGTAAAACCTGCCGGTATTGTTTTTTGATTATCCATTGGATTATCACCATTGCCATCACCATCACCATCATCAATATTATTATCATCGATTGATACACCACGTGCTGCACGTATTGTACGAATAAATTCTTGATGTTGTTGTCGCCAATTGGATTGTTTTGTCGTCGACGAATCATTTTTATCCGATTTTATCGTTTTCTTTGTTTTAATCAGGTTTTTATTCGTTGATTTCAATACTGGTTCATTGATAGTAATTTCTGTCGGCACCAAGTTGATTTTATCCAAATTTTCAGCCCTCTGTTTTGCTGCATCGAATAATTTTCTCTTTTTTTCCTTAATTTTTTGACATATTATTAAATGTTTTTCCTGTTTGGAAACAAAAAAGAAAAAGTTAGAATTCATTATTCGTTATTTGTGAATTTCCTGGATATTCTTTAAAAACAACAACAAAGCGAAAACACCGCCCTATCGATTTGGAATATTAAAACAAAAAACACTGTTCTATATGAGATCGATTTTTTGTTTTTTTTTCCTGAATTGATTGATTGATTGATTGATTGTGTTTTCTGTGTCAGGTCAATGAAATGTTTTTTTTTGTGGATGGAATATACACAGTGGGAAAAAGCAAAAAAACAAGAACAAAGTTTACTACTTACCAATCGATCGGATAAAAATTTTCGTTGACATAATGTACATGGTATTAGATTTTGATTCTCTTTTGCTGAATTATTATTATTATCAACAACATTATCACCAACATTATCATTGGATAATTTTACATTATCATCATCATCATCGAACATTGAATCATCATTTTTTTCTTTATTCTTGACAAAATTATCCATTGATTTCATTGAATATTCTTGCTGTAGTTGTTGTTGTTGTTGTTGCTGGTGTAAATAAATATTATCGACAATATTATCATCAACATTTTCAATATGCATAGTTCAGTTTTTTCGTTTTCATTGATTCATTTGAAATTTTGGTTTTTTTTCAGCAAGCACTTGAAATCACCAGAATAACACGCAAAAACAAAACAAATTAAACTAGAATGAGATCAAAGGATAAATTTGAATGACGACGATACACTAATGAAATATATAAACAGAAACAAAAAACATTTAAAAAGAATCAACCAAAATGACTTTACACATACCATGGACAGAATAAACTAATAAAAAATGAAAATGAAACCGAAAATAACAAAAAACATTATCGTCGTCGTCGTCGGTAGAATTGTGGAATATTTTCCATTTTTTTTGCCCAATTCTTGTGTTTCATAATCGGGAATTGTATAGTATTTTCTTTCTTCAATATTTTTTTCGGGCAAAAACATTATCAGAACATTAACGACCAAAAGGTAACCAATGGATACGGTATTCTGGTCGTTCCAAAAAAGAAAACATTCGAAATTCTTTTTTTTTCGAATCGAGCATGCGTTCGATTCGTTTTTCGAATGTTTTGTTTCGAATGTTTTCATTTCGAATGTTTTTTTTCTGGTTTCAGAAATTTTATCAAATGACGTTAATCATTTAAATGATTATATCGTGATGGTGTACAGGAATGATAATGGTGGCGGTGGTGGTGAAGAAATGGAATCCTAGAAACCAGGATTCCATCAGAAAAAAAGAATTTGTTATCGGTTTGAAATCTGCTATATATATCTCTTGATAAAAATTGGAGCAATTTTCGTTTGTTTTGGCTACGCCAAGGATTCTTTTATGTTTTTTTACCTTCAATTTTCTTTTCGAAAAATAATTTAACGTTTTGTTTTGTTTTTTGAAGGTTTTCCAAATCGTTGATTATTGTGGCTTTCGCAAAACGATGATGATGATGATGAACGAAACGGAGAAAAAATTCTCACAATTTGTTTCTCCCAGAAAAAACAAACAAAAAACCACATACCAAAAACCCCAATATGACACACACACTAAAACAAAGCAAAACAATCATCATGATGGTCATCGAAGCCGAACCAAAAAAAAAAAAAAACAGAAAACACAGACCAAACTAATAATGATCATAAACATTTAACTCTTCAATGACATTTTGATTATGTTTTCTGTTTATCTTCTGATGTCATTTTGGTCATCATCATCATCATCATAATCATCAGTTTGTTCCATGGCTTTAAATTCAAATGAATTATCCGAATTCTTAAATGCGAAAACAAAAAACAAAGAAAACATAATTTACACACGGAAACAACAACAACAACAAAACTCACATATATTTTTCTAATATTTCTACCCTGATGGCTCCCATTATGTTGTTTTTGCCTTATATTTTATTTTGTTTGTTTGTTTTGTTTGCTGATCTTTTAATCTTTTGATAATGATGATTATGATGATGACGGTTATTTTCTGATTGCTGTTGATTGTTTGCTGTTTCACACTCGTAATTTTTTTTTCTTTTTTCGCAAAAAAAACTACTTGTTGATTTAAGCCATTATATATAGGTGTTTGTTTTGATATTTTCGTTCGTTTTGTTCGGGTGCAATATTTATCTGACAAGAAAAAAAAATGTCTTTCATCAGACCATGACATTTGCATTTAACGAATTATCATCATCATCATCATCATCATCATGGCCAAATGATGATGATAATGCGAAATGCGAAAGATGAAGGTTTCTGTTTTTCTCCGTTTGTTTTTTCGGGAGTTCTGATAGTGNACTTTTTTTTTGTTTTCGTTTGTTTTGGCTACGCCAAGGATTCTTTTATGTTTTTTTACCTTCAATTTTCTTTTCGAAAAATAATTTAACGTTTTGTTTTGTTTTTTGAAGGTTTTCCAAATCGTTGATTATTGTGGCTTTCGCAAAATGATGATGATGATGAACGAAACGGAGAAAAAAAAATTCTCACAATTTGTTTCTCCCAGAAAAAAACAAACAAAACCACATACCAAAAACCCCAATATGACACACACTCAGAAAAAACAAAACAAAACAATCATCATGATGGTCATCGAAGCCGAACCAAAAAACTGAACCAAAAAAAAAACACACCAAACTAATGATGATCATAAACATTTAACTCTTCAATGACATTTTGATTATGTTTTTTTCTGTTTATCTTCTGATGTCATTTTGGTCATCATAATCATCAGTTTGTTTCATAAATTCAAATGAATTATCCAAATTCTTAAATGCGAAAAAACAAAAACCAAAACAGAAAAAAGAAAACATAATTTACACACGGAAACAACAACAACAAAACTCACATATATTTTTCTAATATTTCTACCCTGATGGCTTCCATTATGTTGTTTTTGCCTTATATTTTATTTTGTTTGTTTATTTTGATCTTTTAATCTTTTGATAATGATGATGACGGTTATTTTCTGATTGCTGTTGATTATTTGCTGTTTCACACTCGTAATTTTTTTTCCTTTTTTCTTCGCAAAAAAAACTACTTGTTGATTTAAGCCAATATATATAGGTGTTTGTTTTGATTTGATATTTTCGTTCGTTTGTTCGGGTGCAATATTTATCTGACAAGAAAAAGAAAGGTCTTTCATCAGACCATGACATTTGCATTTAACGAATTATCATCATCATCATCATGGCCAAATGATGATGATAATGCGAAATGCGAAAGATGAAGGTTTTTTTTCTCCGTTTGTTTTTTTCGGGAGTTCTGATAGTGATCATCCATAAATGTTTTTTTGATGGATTATGTTGACAGCTATGATGACATTTAANAAAAAAACTACTTGTTGATTTAAGCCAATATATATAGGTGTTTGTTTTGATTTGATATTTTCGTTCGTTTGTTCGGGTGCAATATTTATCTGACAAGAAAAAGAAAGGTCTTTCATCAGACCATGACATTTGCATTTAACGAATTATCATCATCATCATCATCATCATCATGGCCAAATGATGATGATAATGCGAAATGCGAAAGATGAAGGTTTTTTTTCTCCGTTTGTTTTTTTCGGGAGTTCTGATAGTGATCATCCATAAATGTTTTTTTGATGGATTATGTTGACAGCTATGATGACATTTAATGTTTTTTTCTTCGGTTGATTAGATTAGTTTTTTTTTTAAATTTAATTTTTTCCGATTTTCAAATAGATTTCACCCAGAAAAACAAAACAACGAAAAAATCATTCCCGAAAAAAAAATTCGTCATTTATGAATGGATCGAATGTTTTTTTTGTTAATCCACACACACAGACAGACAGACAAAGAGAGTTTCATTCAACTCATTCGAAAACAATTCATATCCGGGTTTGTTTTTTGTGTTTTTTTTTGTATTTACCTTTTTTTACCAGAATCTCTCCAGAATCTCTCCAGAATCTGTTTTGCTCTAATCCCATTCCTTTTTTCATTCATTTTGGCTTGATAAATTAATCATACCAATATATCGTCCATGTTGTTCTTTTTTTCCTCGGCTAGAGAATCTATTTTGTTGTTGTTGTTCTGGGTCGAATCATTCGATTCACTATCCGTATAATGCTTATGACAAATGACAAGGTTGGTTTTCCATGCATGTTTTTCTGGATTCCCAAAATTATTCTATATCTTTCCATTTTCTCTCACTCACTTGCCATGTTTTTATTTTATCAGTCCAGAATAATATTTTCGGTCTCGGTTAGAAAAAGTGGTATATCATTATTAATCTGGTCATCATCATTCTGGTCATCATCATTCTGGTCATTTTCATTTCATTTACTCATCTGATCATTACATTCATCATTTCGAAAAAAAAATTATATTCGTTGTTTGTGAATTTTTTTTTCTGAGTTACGTTTCATATTTGCTTGATTATTACCCCCAAAAAATGTTTCGTTTTTGTTGGTCTCTTATCTTAACTAACTAACAAGCAAACAAACAAACAAACAAACAACAATAACCGGTGATATTTGTGTTAGTATAATATACCTGAACCGAATCGAATGATGATGATGATGATAAAATCGATGTTTTATTTGCTTTGTCAATGATGATCATCAGTAATGATAATGATGATAATTGTAATGACAACAACAACAACAACAAAGCAACGACGACGACTACTACGATCATTATGTTAACTGAATCTAGACGTTTGACAAAATTTTCGGAAAAGTCATCTTCGTTAATTTTCAATCTATGTTTCGGTTGTGTTTATATATGTGTCCAATGTAGTAATCATTATTATCTTTCTTGACAAAAGTTTTTTCCCCTTCAACTAATTTCTACTATAGTAATCATTAAGCAAAAAAAAAAGGATTGAAACAAAACTACAATCGAAAAAAAAACTTATTATAAATCACTAAATCCGAAATTGAATGTTTCTTTCTTGCAATTCAGTCATTGTTGTTTGTTTGTTGTTTTCATTTTCATTTTTTTTAATTGTACCAACCAAATATTATTTAGGTCAAATCTAATTGATTTTTTTCTAAGTTAATTGCGAACAAAAAACTTTTAATTCTTTCGAAAATCTACATAAATTTTTGGGTAAAAAAAAATTATTCGAATTTTCTTTTCGAATCCAAAATTTTTTCGATAAAATTTCTAATTTTTCTTTCTGTTTTTTAGGTGAAAAAAACTTGTCGAAACATCATCGCATTTTGGCCCGTTATAAGGATAATACACAAACCCTGAGAAATTAAAAAGCAAGCAAAGAGAAAAAATGTTGAATTTATTAAAAAAAAATCGTCCATATAATAAATTATTATATAATCATTATTCAAAAAAAGTATCACCAATGATAATGATTGCCCGTATGGCATTATTATTAATCATAGCAATGATAATTATAATAGCATTTATTTGGTTTACAAATTTATCATCAATGCTAATACAATATAGTTGGAAAGAAAAACCCGTATTCATATTGTTTGATGAATCAGAATTGAATCCAAAAAATATGACGGCTACTACCATTATCAACCAAAACGACAAAAATTGACTATTTAAACCCATGTAACGATGTGTAATGATTTATACTAGACGAAACTATTAAAACTCGTTCCATCAACAACAAAAAAAAAATGACCATGTTTTCGACGTTCATCATTTTCATCATCATATCATCCATATTCGTAATAGTTATGGCTATCAATTTATCTGAATCAAAAGATTATTCAAAAATGAATATACAACAATTAATTGATGAATTAATTGCGATAACAAATGAAAATAATTCTGAACAAATTCAATCAATAATCAATCAATATTTATTGATACGACAAAATTATTAACATGAAAATCTTTCTTTTTATTTTTTGGATTCAAAAAAAATTGAATTGAAGTTTCTGTAAGTTTTTGTTTTTGATTTGTACAATTTGATTTAATAATAATAAAAAATAACAACAACATTTTCTCAATATGGACGCCATAATCGATTTCTTATTGATGATTGATTTGGTGATTGATTCGTTGATGATGATTGTTGTTGTTGATGTTTTATTGTTGATGAACGTTCCAGTTGATGATTATGTTGTTGTTGTTGTTGTTGTTGTTTTTGTAATGCAGCCTGAAACATCATTTGTAATTGTAATTTTAATGATTCAGTTGTTGTTGTTGGCGGCGGTGGTGGTGGTGGTAATGATGCTGGTGTATGTGGGATAATTGATCCGTTGTTTATTTGAGACCAAAGTAGATAGGATTGTGCTGCTGCTGCTGCTGCTAATGACATTGATGATTGAATCGATTGTGATCGATCATCAATCGATTGTTGAACAACATCGGTGGTTACTGTTGATGTAATATTCCTTGAAAATAAATTGATTGTTGGCGATAAAGATGATTCATCATCATCATGTGAATCGATTAATGACGGACCATGATGATGATCATCATCAAATGTATCCACATCTAAAGTCATCGATTCAATCGATGATTCTATTGATGATAAAAGTAATCAAGAAAAAAACAAAACAATCAATTAATCTAAACATTATCATCGCTTATCATCAAACAAAATCAAAAACATGCGGCGATTATCTATGATTGAATTGAAACAATCACCCTGTAGTAAAATTATCAAATTCTTTCTTTTTTTTTAGTCCCAAATTTGTAGATATTATTCAAAAGATTATGTAAATTTTTTTTTCTTATTTTGGTGGTTGTTGACGCTGTTGTTTTTTTTTGTTTTCTAACTTGGAAAAAGAAAAAAATGACCAAAGAAAAAAAATCATTTTCAGGTAAAAATTTTGTCACTGATAATGATGATGATGATGATCATCATCAGTGCATTATGTGGTCAACCAAGCGAATTGGAAAAAATTTTCAACAAAAACAACGAAAAACCAGCAAATCAAATTTTGTGTGTGTGATCATTCGCTTCAATGATAATGATTGTTTTCTCTCTCTCTCTCTCTCTCTCTCTCTCTCTCTCTCTCTCTGACTATCCAGGTAATATTTTGTTTTCTGGTTTTCTGGAACACATCAACGAATCAACCAACCAACCAACCCAGTAAACACCAATGTAAATTATCAGGATAATCATTATTTTATGCAAAAGAAAAACAAAAAACAAACGTCAAAAATGATAATGTTTTTTGTTTCTGGATAATCTGTTTCTATTTCTATGGTTGGTTATAAATTATCACCGAACGATACAAACAATTAGAATTATATAAATTGAATTAGACGTTATAATGTTGGGTTGTCAAATAAATAATTTGTCGTTNTTTTTTTTTTCGCAAAAAAACTACTTGTTGATTTAAGCCATATATATAGGTGTTTGTTTTGATATTTTCGTTTGTTCGGGTGCAATATTTGACAAGAAAAAAAAAATGTCTTTCATCAGACCATGACATTTGCATTTAACGAATTATCATCATCATCATCATCATCATTTTGCCATGATGATAATGCGAAATGCGAAAGATGAAGGTTTCTGTTTTTCTCCGTTTGTTTTTCTGGAGTTCTGATAGTGATCATCCATAAATGTTTTTTTGATGGATTATGTTGACAGCTATGATGACATTTAATGATTTTTTTTCTGTTTTTTCTTCGGTTGATTAGATTAGCGTTTTTTTAATTTAATTTTTTCCTATTTTCAAATTGATTTATCCAGAAAACAAAAACAACGAAAAAACGAAAAAAATCTTTTCCAAAAAACCAAAAAAATTCGTCATTTATGAATGGATCGAATGTTTTTTGTTAATCCACACACACAGACAGACAGACAGTTTCATTCAACTCATTCGAAAACAATTCATATCCGGGTATGTGTTTTTTGTTTTGTATTTACCTTTTTTACCAGAATCTCTCCAGAATCCAGAATCTGTTTTCTGTTCTAATCCCATTCCTTTTTCTGTCGTTTTTTTTTCGTTTTGCTTGATAAATTAATCATACCAATATATCGTCCATGTTCTTTTTCTCGACGAGAGAGAATCTATTTTGTTGTTGTTGTTGTTCTGGGTCAAATCATTCGATTCGATTCACTATCCGTATAATGACAAGGTTGGTTTTCCATGCATGTTTTTTTCTGGATTCCCAGAACAAAAATTATTCTATATCTTTCCATTTTCTCTCTCACTTGCCATGTTTTTTTTATCAGTCCAGAATAATATTTTCGGTCTCGGCTAGAAAAAGTGGTATATCATTATTAATCTGGTCATCATCATTCTGGTCATCATCATT